CCCTTGACCGGAAGGAGTTCCTGCTCAGCCCGAGGTGTAGACTTGGCATGTGCTGAGATGACTGTGGACAGGTGGCTTTGACAGTGAGGAATCGAGGGAGGCAGAAGATGGCAGGAGAGCTGAGTGCTGCTGGTCACGGGCGGCTTTGTGGGGAAGGGACCTGGATGCCCTTGAAAGGCGATGCAAATTTGGAGGGCGAGGGAAATGACATCTGGGCTTCGTGAGCCGGGTTCCCAGTCCGTTTCCTCAGCCCTGATGCTGACCATTCACCTAGTGCAGCCACTTTAGAGGAAGAGGAAGGTACCTCTGCTTTCTCAGTGCTACCCCCACCCACCCATCTGCCTGGCCCATCAGTTCCCCAATGACAGGGACCACAGCCACCTGCTTCATGGCAGTGTCCTCAAGCCTGTGCGTCTCTGATGGCGTTGTCCATCTCAGTCACCAGGGGTATCTTCTCCTACAGTCCCTACATCTTACCGGAATTATCATCAGGTCCCATGGGCTCTTCCTGTCACAAATCTTGAGTCCAGTCCCTCCTCTCTATCTCCCCTGCCTTGTGGACTGTGGGGCAAAGAGAAGCAGAGGCCATGTTTCTGATAAACCTCCCTGGCTTCTTGGAAATGGCTACAGCCAGCAGACAGCAGATACCAAGTACCATGGACTTGGACGTACCTGACATTTGAGCCTCTGTGCCTCTGCTAACTCTGGACGTGACCCAGTTAGGTTATGATTCAGCCTCAGGAGCCCCTTTCCACTCTGTGTTCTCACAGGGTGGTGGGGGTACAGTGTCCTATGTGGTCCTTGGCTGCTGGGATTAGGTCACACCCTCACCATTCTCAGCTGCACTAATACAGGCATCTAAATGGCCTCCCTGCCTCCCTCTGGGTCCCCTGGTCCCCTTCCATAGTCCTCCCTATTGTTTGCAGAGTTATTCTATCTCCAGCCTGTTTGAAGAACAGTGTGTCATGGCCTTTCCCACTGCATTGCCTAGAGGCCCTGCAGGATAAGATACTAACTCATTAGCAAAACAAATAAATCCCTTGTGATCTACCCACATGATCTCATTTCACAGGTCAGGCCTCAGAACCCACCTTCTCCCCTTGGAGGGCCACCCCACCCGGCCCCATGCTCTTCGAGGTCCTGAGACACAGAGCTACTCCTGGTTTCTCAAACACCCTGTGCGCTTTCAGCTTTCGAGTCTTCTGAGCATTTCATTCCCTTTCCCTGAGACGCTTTTGCCTGATGAGCTCCTATTCTTTCCTCAATGGCCGGCTTATAGATTCCTTTCTCCGATAACTACACAGTTTACCTCTTTCTTCGCTGTGTTCCTGATCCTCGGAGACATTCCTGCATTACTCCTGCTTTCACTCTGTGTATTCACTGGGCCCCTGACAGGGCGGGGGTGGGGGGACCCCATCCGGGTCACCTCTGCCTGCCCAGAGCCAGGCACAGCATTCTTCACCCTTTGGCTTAGTACACATTTGCTGATGTGAAGATAAACAAAGGCTGTTTTCCAAGAATCAGGCGGCTTTTGGGAATAGCTGAGGATGAGGAAGTGAAGAGACACTTTCCGTTTTTGTACCCCCCCCCCGCTTATTTTTTTTTTTTTTTTGCCTCCAGAAGCAGCAGCAGAACAGTCTGGAGAAGCCCAGAAGGTCAGGGAAAATGCAGCTGAGACCCTAACTGCCTTTCCAGGCCCTTTCGCTCTCTTTACTGTAGTCGAGTTCAAGGCTCGGCGTCATTTTCCTCACATTTACCCTTTGTGTTTGTTCCCTGTGTTTCTCTTCTTTAAACGCGCCGCTTTTTAGCCTTTTGAGTTCCTGCAGCCAAGGGAAAACTCATCAATAGCGGCGTGAAAACAAAACCAAACCAAAGAAAAAAAACAATCTAAGGCCTCACCCTACTGCCTCCTCTTCCCAGAAGCCTTCCTGGCCTAGGACTGTGTTCTCGTCTGACCTCCCAGCACACGTGAGGCAGCTATCACCTACTTGACTCTTGAATTTTGGGTGCTGTCCTTTGGTCTATAAATTGCTTCAGCTGTGCTGGTCTTAGCTCTGCCAATGAGGTTGCAGAAAAGGATCACGCTGTACGGACTCTGCTTTTTAATTTCCCAGTAAGTTCAGGCTGGGAGCCCAGTCGAGTGCTGGGCGCATCCACGTGGGATGTCACCTGTTATCTACTGGTGGATTCTGGGAGCTCTGCTGGTTCCCTTTCAAAACTCCCTCTGTTAAGAGTCTAATTAGTTTTAAGTAAACTGGGCAAAAGCCATTGGCCTCTTGGGGCCCCTCTGCCACATTCTTCCTAATACTCAATACTGTCGGCCTCCCGCTTGTTCCAAAGCAGAGCTACCCAAACATGGCTTCTTTCTTTGCCTAAGCTATCACTTACCATCTACTTGTCTCTTCTCCGGCAGAGACGAGGGCCACCTCCCATCCACTCTAGGCACGCGCAGCATATGGGCCACACTGGCTGCTTTTTACCTTCACTTGGCTTTCAACAAGACAGAGAGGATTAGACATGTAGAGCTTTGTGGAACCTGCTTGATTCTTCAGCCTTTAGCAGGACCTTGAAGAAAGAAAAGAGGTTTCTCGTCTGCTTCTCCAGTTTTGGCAAATTCTTTCAGGAATATTCCTGCGGGGGAGAGAGGGCTCTGATCCTCGACAGGCAGTGCCCATTCATTTGAGTGAGCTGGCACACCCTGATGTTTGATCTGATAATCACGTATGCTCGGACTGTCATCACTGCTTGCTTCTGAAACAAACAAATCCTCACCACCCCCTTCCCCTCCTCTAGCCCTCAGTGACAATATTCATTCCTGGGAATTTGGTTTTGCAGGAATGGTGTTAAGCTGGTATCCCGCTAAGATCCAAGGGGGTGATTGGACAGAAACAAGCCACTGGGCTCTGAGAACCGGGAGAGCATGAGGGCTTCCTTCTCCAGTGAGGGGTGTTAGGGATAATCTAGGGCTCTGGTTCAGGTCTGGGGAGCCGGGCCTTTGGGGGATGGTGGGAGAAAGCCCTACACAGAGACATGGGGGTGGGGTGTTACTAAGAGCTCAGCCTTGGAGTCAGACTGTAAATCTGTCTCTTTGCCATGGGCCATATGGGACCTTATGGGCCTTCACTGGGCCACCAGGTCCACAGATGCAAAATGGGTATAACGATGCTTGCCTCTTAGAGTTGTTGTCAACTAGTAGGTGCCTAATTAGTTGATTTATCCATTTATTCAGTCATTCCACAAACATTCGTTCAACACTATAACGATTTGAGGTGCCAAAAATGCAAGACAGATGTAGTCCCAACTCTCACTGAGCTAACAGACTAGACCAAAGTGGGCAAGACAAACATATAACTTAAAAATGAGCAAAATAAAACTATTACTCATTGTTGATTTTGCTCATTTCAAACTTTAAAACCGGTTTGTGTTCATGTTGTTAATAAGTTGTGATTAGAGCTGTGATCAGGAGTCAGGAGTTAGATGGTAAGTTAAAAAATAAGAAATACCTACTTCGGGTAGAGCATTCAGGGAAGGCTTCCTTGAGGAGGTGACCTTCCTTTCCCTCGTCTCCCTTACATGGTACAATAGGGAATGATACATTGCAAGATGGTTTTTTTCTCTAAAGGGAAGCTTAGAGATGACTGCTACTGGTGGAAAAATAAATAACTAAAGATGCCACGAGAGTGAGAAGAAAAATCAAGATGAGAGGATGATGACAACACTCTTTGTGTGGTTCAGTGTAGCATTTCACAAGCACAATTAAGAAAAGTTTCACAGATTTTCTCATTTTCAACCGCCTTGTAAGATGAGCAGGACCCACGTGGTCATCTCCACTTTACAGATAAGGAAGCCGAGCTTGGAGAGATGGCGTGACTGCTCAGAGTTCCCGCACCAGGTGGATGGAGGGCAACTCTGGGCTGCTTCCCTGCTGTCTGTGGCCCCTGGCACTGGGTTTGGACCCGTGGTTCTCAGCCTTGGCTGCACATTGCAGTCACCTGCGGAGGTTTAAGAACTATTGACCTCTGGGTTCCACTCCCAGCGATTCTGGTCATCAGTCTGGAGCGCAGCTTGAGCATCAGCAGTTATAAAGTCTGCAGGTGATTCCCAATGGTTGGAAAGCATGGTTTAGAACTTTAAGTTGTCGGCTGCCATTAATAAGCATGTTCTGGAGAACTGGCCACGCAGGGAGAGCCAAGATGACAAACCTGTCAGCAACTGCAACGTCTTGTTCTTAGTAGAGAGTTAGGCCCCTAATAATAACAACAGTAGTGGTGAACACCCTTTTCCTAGACTGTTGCCCTCTGCACTGGTTTCAGCTAGAAATTGACAAACTCTTCTGTGGTAGTGTCCTTGAGAGCTGTATATGACATCTGATCTGTGGGAGCAGGAGACTTAACCAATTTGGGAGTGATACTGGGCTTGATGGCACTCGATCACTGAAGAAACTCAGGGGAAAGTTTTGTTTGCCCAAGAGTGGCTTTTGATGGGTTGTCCATATATTTCTGCAAGGACAGAATAATCACTGTTTCATCTCCTTGGCTTAGTTCTGTTTCTCCATCCTTTGGCAAAGAATGAACAACTGGTCAACCTTATCACTGCTTTTGATGATTACGAGTTTGATCTGTGTTCAAGTTCCCCAGACCCTGAACTATTTGAATTGACTTTTATCAAGGAAGAAATCTGTTTCCAGACTCCAATGGCCTTGTGGGCTTGACTGGGCCACCTTGGTCACTGCCACTCCAGCAAATGGTAGACCATAGTCTTTGGCCAAGGTCGTTCACCTCACAGCCGAGGGCCTGTTTCCATCTCACCGAGACCCTAGCACTGGAAATCCTGCTTTTTGGCTGGGCCCCTTGTGCAGCCAGGCCTCACCCCAAACCCCTCCCCTTAGGACCAGAGGGTTCATGGTGGGACACCGCAGGATCTGGAGGTGTATCTGAGATGCGCCTTTAAAGAGAAGGCAGCCACTGTAAAGGGTTCTTCTGTTTTTTGTCTCCAGCCCTGGAGCAGTTGCTGACGGAGCTGGAAGATTTCCTCAAGATTCTCGACCAGGAGAACCTGAGCAGCACAGCTGTGGTGAGGAAGAGTGGCCTGGCCGAGCTCCTCCGGCTTTACACCAAAAGCAGCAGTGAGTGTGGCCCAGGGGCCTTGGGGAGGTCTCCGTGGAGACGGACAGACGGTTGTATTAACGAGGGCCGCCGTAACGAAGTTTCACAGACTTAGTGGCATGAACAGCAAATGTTTATTCGCATATAGTTGTGGAGGCCAGAAATCTGAGATCAAAGTGTTATCAGGTCGGTTCCTTCCGAGGCCCTCTCTCTTTGGCTTGTAGATGGCCGTCTTCTCCCTGGGTCTTTCTGCCACCTTCCCTCTGTGTACATATCTGTGTCCAAATCTCCCCTTCTTATAAGGACACAGGTCATATTGTGTTAGGGGCCACCCCAGTGACCTCATTTCATGTTAATCACATTAAAGACCCCTCTTCTTTAAAGACCTTTCTCCAAATACAGTCACGTTCTGAGCTATCGAGGTCTAGGACTTAACGTATGAATTCTGAGGGGGCACAATTCATACTATAACAATAGTGTAGAAGAGATATGACTTGAATGGGAGCCCAGAAATCTCTGTTCAACACATCAGCCTATGAATGAGGTTTTAAACACAGTGTTGTCAAAGCACTTTTTCTTCCTGGTTGAAAGTAGAGAAGGGATAATAAACTCTTACAATAATAGCTAAGGCTTAATTGAGCACTTCCCACTTAACACAGATGAGGAAACCGAGGCCTGCAAAGTTCAGATAACTCCCCCAGTGTCATAGAGCCCAAGGGAAAACGTAGTTTTAAGAATTTGTAAATCACGAACGCTGCGTTCATATTTTTCTTCCACCTTTTTTTTTTTTTTTTACTGAGGTGGGTTTTTATATCCAACCAATACATGAATCTTAAGTATTCGATTCAGTGACTTTTGACAGTCGTGTACACCTGTGTCCCTACCACCCCAAACAAGACAGAACATTTTCTATCCCAGAAAGTTCTTTCTTGCCTCTTCCTGGCAAGAAAATTCCTCCCCACCCCCACGTCATGGCCACTAACGTTTGGATTTCTCCCACCATAGATGAGCTTTGTCTTTCCCAGAACTTCATGTAAACGGAACCGTACAGGGGGTACTTTACGTCTGGCCTCTTGCTCAGGAGACTCGTCCGTGCTATAGGGTGTGTCAGATGTCCCTTTCATTACTGAGTAGTGTTGCATTCTGTGCATATACCACAATCTGCTTATCCAATCACTTGTTGATGGACATTTGGCTGGTCACACATTGGGACTGTTTTGAATAAGGCTGCTCTGAGCGCGCTTGGACAAGTCTCATGGACATATCGTTTCATTTCTAGCAATTCAGTTTTTTTTGTTTGGTTGGTTTTTTGTTTTGTTTTTTTGTTGTTGTTGTTGTTTTTAAGAGAAAAGCCTTTTTGTGAAGTCATAACAGTTCAGTTTATTTTTATAGTGGATGTTCGAGAATTGGAAGTGATGGTTGGGGACGGTAAGGGACCATAAGAGGGCATCTCATCCATCTGCCTCTCGGCGGGAGCAGCCTAAGTCCGTGCCAGGGAAGGGAAGTGCACCTGCTCCAGCCATCACAGGAAATTCTCCCTCATATCCAGCCCGAATCTGCCAGCCTGCATTTCAAGGTCCCTTTTCCTTTTCTTTGTTCCCAGTGGAACGGGTTTCTATCCTCTGAATAACAGAGAAGTCGTAAAGCCGAAGCATGTTGCTGGCTGCCCAGCAGCCTTCTCTTCCCGTGAAATAATCCAGGCTCCCTCAGCCTTTCATCAGAGGCGTTTTCCTTGAGCCTCTTGGTTGTCCTTTAGCTCTCCAGCCACCCCTAGGTTCCCAGGCTCTTCCTGGCTTTGTAGTAAGCGTCTGCTAGTCTGTAGTGAGTGCTGGTCAGCAGCACATCAAAGGTGGGAATGGCAGATGGGAAATCCACATCACAAAGCAGGTTAGTTAGAGAGGGATGAATCATCCACAAAAGGATTCCTCAGTGGATCTTTTAAAAAGCACACTCTCCAGCCCACTGAGATGTGCTCTGATGTGAGAATATTCACTGATAAAGAACCTCTGTTGGGAATTAGAAAGCACCTCTGCAAACCATGGTTCTCGGTTCTAACCACCCTATCAGAGCCCCCTATACAGGGACCCTGTTTTGGCTTCACATGCTATGTCACTTCCTGTAGGATGACCTTTGTTTCACCCTTGAACTTCGTATGTTCTGCTGATATGAAGTCAGATCTTCCCACCCTTGGTCTCTGCGGCTTGAAGGGCTGCAGAAGGCTACTGAAAACCTGTCAACGGGCTCTCCAGAGCGAATTGCCCCCAGAGCGCCCCCTAGACTCCTAATAATAAATGTGCGAGGCCTGTGGTTGCCAGTTCTTAAGGTCAGTGTCCACTTATTAATAGCTGCCATGTGACTGAGAACTTCCCTTCTGGTTCGCTTTGCACCTTTTTGCACAGCAAAGTGGTTATAACAGCAGCTAACATTTTTCGTGCATTTACCATGTCCCAGCATTATGCTTAATGTATGAAATAACATGGGTTACGTCATCTAATTCTCATCCCCTGTCACTGAGGAAGGCGTTGTTATCCCCATCTTACTCTCAGGGAACCGAGGCTTAGAAAGTCACTTACTTGAGGCACATGGCTGGGAGCGATCAAACCAGGGCTTGGGCCCGGGCAGCTGTACCTAACCCTTATGCTCCCCTCACCTGCCATCCTTTCAGATTAATCTGTACTAGATTAATTGTTGTGCCACAGAGGACAGAATCCAAAGCCCCCTAAAATTAAGCATTTGTCTCCCTGTCTCGGGCTCCCAGCCCTGCTTCATTGAGTATCTTAATTACAGAAAATTAGCTCAGCCTGACAGAACTTATAGGTAGAGGCAGGCTGATCATTTTGAGATAGCCTGTGATCTCCACTGGCTAAACTGTAGCTTCTCTGACACGTTTGGGGCAGAGTGTGTACGTGTGTGTGTGTGTGTGTGTGTGTGTGTGTTTACACTTTTTGAACGGAAATTTCCATTTGAATTTTTGTGTCTTGTTTTTTACTATAACAAGTTTCTCTGCTAAGTGCTTTTTGTCTGGATGGCGAGGTCTAGGCAGAGAATGAGGTCTGTTTATCAGGGGCCTGCTGTTCCTGCCTTCATCAGTGAGGGCCGTGGGTCCCCCAATATCCTGCTCAGGGAATGTACAGAAGTTTCAGGGCCTGCCCCTCTGATAGGAAGAGCTTCAAATATTCTGTCTGTCCAGCTGTAGCCGGCCAGACCGAGGGGTCCATGTCCTTCCTCCCACCCTTCACCCAGTCTCTGGGAAGGACTGCCCTCTGCAGACATGTCTGTTCCCCCAGGAATCACGCGCTTGCTCAGGGCATGGTGAGCACTCCTTTCTGACCACACGTTGCTATTTCCCACACACCTGTGCCACTCTCGCATTCAGGTCTACTCCCCCAGGCCTCTCCAGGTGCTGATTTTATGAAGACATATCCCCAGCACCTGCTTATAGCGCTGGTGCTCAGAGCACATCTGAAAATGAGTGAGAGTTCTCCATCCCAAGGCTGCTGCCTCCCAGCCATGGGATAGCTCAGCAGCCTCCCCTTTGAAGGCCAAGTTCACTGGGATTTTCCCATGATTGCAGGTGGTCCTAGGAGCCTCGTACTTACCAACCAGAATGATACTGGATTAACAACGCTCTGAGAATAAAAACCTAGGCAGTCATGGCCTACGGAATGGCCCTCTTGAGGAGGCCAGTGCGAGTTTCCTCAGTAACTTCCAAATGGCCATCTTGGCGAGGCAGCATCTGCTCAAAATCCAACAGTTAAAACAATAAAAATGTCTTGCCTTTTTCTTTTTGTGTGAGATCGTGGGCTTAGTCAACAATGTGAAAAAAGAATAAAGACATGAACATTAGACATTATCGACATTCTTTAGATTCCTTTTTTGATCTTTATCAGGGTCATCTGAATATTCTTATGTCGTTAGGGCTTGCCTCTGTATTCTGCTTTACATGATTTTTATATTTATGATTGCTGCATGTGCACATTTTCAAGTGTTAACAGTTCATACTTTTTTCTGTTTTTTTTGCTATTCTGAAATGCGAACCTTTGATTTAACTGTAAGTCGTGGATATCCCTGTACATAGCAGAACTTAGAGCAGCTTTATTTTTCACGGTCGGACAGTGTCCAGTGATGGATGAACAGTATTGTCCAACCAGCCCCCTATTAGTGAGCATTTTTAAAAAAGAAACCTCATACTGTATTGCAATGAATATCCTCAAATAAAATTTTATTTGTATGCTGGAGTTTACCTTCGGGAGAAATTTTTGGCAGTAGAAATGCTGGGTAAAATTATCCTCCAAAATTACTTCCAAAATGGTTGTGCCAATTTACATACTCTTCAGTAATCCATTTATTGATAAAGGTGACATGTTATTATGTATGTTGATGTGCCGTGGTGTATTTCACCATTTTCCTATTATCGGGACATATTTTCTATGTTTTAGGTTCTCGATTTTAATCTTTGTTAGTTATAAGGTTCCCTCTTTTTTTTAATTTTCTAATTTGAGTTTTATACTCTTTTTTTCTAATTTTCTAATATTTGAGTTTTGTACTCTTGAAAACTTAAGAGTTAGGTAGAAACAGGCAATGTTTTTATCATGATCGTTTTTCATACTATGCAGACAAGAACACCAAGGCCACACAGGTTAGGTGTTTTGCCCAGAATTACACTGCTAATGGCAGACCTTAGCCCAGACTCCCCAACTCCTGCCATCCCCTCCAGAGCACTTTCCTCCTGCACCATGCTCTGGAGAAGGTTCTGGGTCTCAGTGGAAGTATGCCAGTTGTGGCTCACTGTGTTTGGACCTCATAGTTCCCTCTCATGAGCTGCTGCAGCCTTTTCTGTAGGGGTGACATTGCTGACTGATCCTGGCAGGGCTGGGCACCAAGGCGGCAGTCCCATGGGCTGATGGCGGAGGATGGATCCAGTTGTCTCCTCCTGACCCTCTGAGTTCTCAGGACTCTGTTTTTGCAGGCCTGTTGGCTGCAGGGTCTGTGGTGAGGAAGTGACTAGGGCCGAACTGCCTCACTTGGGGGGCGGGGAGGGGGGGCGGTGGGGTCCCTTGGCTCTGTAAGGTCTCCAACCACAGGAATTCATCAGCCACAAGTTTCTAGGAAATGCAAATGAAGGGCCACAAAAGAAATGCAGGAGGGTTTCTAAGAGGAGAAACATTTAGATGAGCTTCCTCTGCAGGCTTCTGAAGAAAGGGTCCTTGGGACATTAGAAACTGAATAAGTGTTAGGAGACTAGCCTTTCTCTGCCCATACAGGCACTGGGAAAGGAGCAGCCTGGACAGAAATGATTCTAAAGGAAGGGAAGGGCAGTGCTGCTGCAGGTTGTAATCTATAGGGCGGAGCAGGTGGCTGGCAGTTCTCCAGTTCCAATTCTTAGCACACTCACCCCTCTTAATTCGGAGCTCATGATTTGGATGTCTCAGGCCCCCAATAATCACACCCCAGTTACAGACCTGGGAGCTAAACTTCCATATCTTCAGTGTGACCTATTTTATGTAGTCATTGCTCTGATTAGCCCATGCAAGTAATTCAGACTAGCGTGAGAATGACTGATAGGAAATGTTTTACACTTTAAATGAAATGGTAAGAAACCCAGAGAAATCTCAGCTTAGTGGAATGTGAGGCAGATCCTTGAGGTCTGCGTTCCTTTCCACGTAAGACTTCTGTGCCCTAACAATAAACTAAGAGCAACTCGGCATTTCGTTTTTTGGATATCTGTCGACTCTATCATAGACTCTTTCAGTCAACTCAGTGTTGTATTTTTACTAGGACCCAAGCAGATGACAACGTCTCTAGGGGACACTGTTTTTCTCTGGAAGCCCTTTCCCTTCATGGACTCACGTGAAGCTGTGTCTTCTATCCTCCCTCTGCAGGTTCTGATGAAGAGTACATTTATATGAACAAAGTGACAGTCAACAAGCAACAGGATGCTGAATCCCAAGACAAAGGTATGGGACTGGGACGCTGATGGCACGGCCAGCTCCTGGGACTGGGGAAGGTATAAGCCTTGGTCCTGTCCCACCCTCCTTCCTCCCAGCCAGCACCACAGACAGGTCCGGTGGAAATATTTTTGGAGGTCCCATTTTGGTCGATGGTATTTTTGGTGGATGTATTTTGAGATATTTCATCGGGCCACCTCCTTGCCTCTTAAAGGTCTCACATCCCCTTCATGGATAAGGAATCTATTTCTAAAATCTCTCAGCTTTTCTCAGCATTGTCCCGGGAATAGGAAGTCATAATTCAGATGTTTTGAGAAGCAGCTGTGGATGGTGCTGATCCCACGGTTCCCGCTTTCTGTCTTTTGATAGAAGTCTGAATTCTATGTGCGTATTCGGGGGCGGGGGAAATGGCAATGTCAGCAACCGCCTTCATATGTAAAGTTTTTGTTCAAAGGTGCTCTCTTTGGCAGAACACTTTTATCTTCCACTGGAAAGATATAGTTTATCTTCCATGCTGTCTTATTCTTTTGCTCTGTTTTACTCTCCTTTTCTCTGAAAGCCTTCAAGAGTGGGTCTGGCAGGACCCCAGGGAGGCCCAGAGGTTTGCAGAGCTGCTTAGTCGCAGAGGAGGGGCTGATTAGAAGTCCCCTCTCCCAACTCCTAAGCCTGTTACTCAAATGCAAAGGCTTGGAGAGAGACAGAGACACAGCGCCCAAAGCCCTCAGACTGTTTTAAGTTTGGTATCAAGACATCGGCCACCAAAGCCTCGAGGTCAGAACTGCTTGAGCCTAGGGCGGGCTGGGCTGCTGGCTGAAGTGGTCAGACAGAAGAACCTTTGGTGTTTGTTCCTTAAAAGCACACAGAGGGTTAGCGGCCAAGTTTTCCAGTATGGCTTTTCTACCTCCTGCCACACTGCCTAGCCTGGGGCTCGGCAGAACCCATCGGCATGGAAGCGGCTGTGCCCTGCCTGGGTCGTTGGCCTTCCGGCTACACTGTGGGATGGAAAGAGCTGTAATCACAGGTCAGAGCTAAGAGACCAGCTCAATATAGTGACCGCAGGGCAGCTCCTCTGCGCCCTAAAGCCCTGTGGCCAAGCCATTTTCGACAAGAGGCAGGTGGAAGGGAGGGTGGGGAGCCGCCGGAAAACCCAAACCGGCTCCCTCTGGGGGATCTGCCTGTGGCAGCGGCACCACTGCTCCCTATTCTTGGAGGAAAAACAACATCGGCCCCAGGGACCGCCCGCCTGCCTGGGTAATTAACACCTGCTGAAATAGAACTCACGGGCACATGTGACCAGACATTCCTGGATAATGAGACCCTGCTGTGAGGCTGGGCACCCCTCACCAAAGCCTTCTGCTTGCTGCCCACAGCGCCTGAGGAGCAGAGCCCACTGACCAACGGGGAGCCCAGCCAGCACTCCTCGGCCCCTCAGAAGAGCCTTCCGGACCTCCCACCCCCCAAGATCGTAAGTGTGGGTCCAAGACCCCAGACTTCCCTGACTTGGGCCTCCCGCAAATTTCCAGTTGTTTTCACGGGCATCAGTCTACCATGCGTCTGGCGTGTCCTGAGTATCTACTGCGTGTCGGGCACAGAGCCAGGCACAGGAAGGGACAGAGCAAAAGTAAGCCTGTCTGTAGGTGACACATTTGCTCAGGGCGTGGTCCTCAGTGCTAAGGGTGATGGGAGTGGGAGATGAGGGAGATCACCTTTGGCAGGTGCCACCCTGTATCCAAGGCTACCGCAGGCTTTTTACCCAGCACCGCGTGAGCAGGGCCGCGTACAACTGTGGCCACTGCTCCGGCTCTCGTGAACTTTCAGAATTTTAAGTCGTATCACACTGCGCTTCCCCACTGAAATCTGCCAATAGCTCTTGCTGAACTTAGGAAAAAACATCCGTTTCTTAACGTGGCCCCAGGCCTACCAGTGCACCTCCAGCCCCCTCGCCCGTGCTTTTCAGTGGCCTCCCTTCCTTTCCTGGACTTTGCAGTCCCTGGGCCCTGACCTACCTACGTGAGGCACCCCATATCCATCCCTACCCCACACTGTCTAGTCACCCCCTCCATGGCACCTGCTGCCATTGAGATAGACTTGTGTATTATTTAACTCCCAGGCCAGATAGAAGCTCCCTGGGACAGGGACTGTGTCTCTCATTAGTGCTTCGTGTCCCGTGTCTGCACCCACAGAGCCGTACACACACATGGATGGGTGGGTGGGTGGATGGATGGAGGGGATTATGAATCATAGGCCTGGTTTCAGATCCCAGCTGTGCCAGGTGCTAGCTCTTTGACCTCGAGCAAGTTATTGAAGATCTGGCCTCTGTTTCCTGAGGTTTAAATGAAAGGAACGTGAACGCTCTCTGATAAGATTGTCTCACTCAGTGCGCTGAGGCTGTGCGTGGTGTGCTACGCCAGCATTCAGTGCGGTGAGTAGCAACGTTTTTATTTTATGAGTGAGGAAACCAGAACCCGCAGGTTATGTTGCACAGCCTCGAGGTGGCAGAGCCAGAATTGGAACCCGAGTTCTTTCCTCCATAGGATCTGGTTGGGGAGGCAGGAGGTGAGGGCTGGGAAGGATTTCAGGGGAACATCAGTTCTGGGGTCAGTACCAGCAGGAAGGTGTGTGACTCAGTGGACACCGAGCTTTCACCAAGCCATTCATCACCGAGATCTGTGGGCGGAGGTGACGGCTGAGGGGGTGCTACCCCAGGCCGGCCCCTTTCATTATGCCTCCCCGACGGGTGGCGGAGTCCCTCAAGCTACTCTCCTCTGGTCACATGGTAGGCAGTTCTGGAGTGTCTGGGACACTACCCCACTGCATGAGGCCCCTCAAGCTGGATGACAACTAGCAGACTCTTCAGCTCAGGCCCAGCGAGATTGATGGACTGAGCTAAAGTCACCTTGCTGACAACGCTGGTGACTGCCACACCCCAGCTGCCCCCTCCCTCATGCACACAAGCATGGTCCTCTTCACCGCCCATCGAGGGGTGCCTGCCTGTCTCCAGTTTTTCATATGAAGAAACAGGCACAGAGGGTTAAAACGACGGGCCAGGGCCCCTCCGCTGGGGTGTAGCAGGGCCAGGAAGCGAATGCGGGTCCTTGGCTTCCAGGCTGCTCTCTGGCCTCCTGGATGAGCTGATCCTTTTTTAGCAGAGTAAAGGCTCAGGGTACGTTCACGTTCCTTCCAGCAGCAGGCTCCCCTCACTTTTTTGCCCCAGTACTTGGGGGAGACAGCACATCCTTTCTGCTCCCATGTGGCTGCTGCTGACTGTAACCAGGTGGGAGATGCTGTGGTTTCTGGTATGTCCCAGGTACCACTTGTTTGTGGGGCGAGAGAGGAGGTGGCTGCTCCCAGCTAGGACAGGAATGCACCTATCCTGAATTTGGCATCTAATTCTGACCAGAGGCCTTCGGCTTTTGTGTAGTAGAAGTGTCACCGCTGGCCCCACTTGGGGCAGCTGCCTACAGGTCAACACCTGGTTGGAGGGGTATTCACCTGGCAGTCTGAGACTTGGTCTGGAAATCTGTGCTTCGCAAATGTGGTGAGCTGAGAGGCACAGGCTCTGGAACTGGGCTGTAGTTATCAACTAAATCAGGTCACACAAGTCCCAGCAGCCCCTGGGATTCTGGAGCTGGCTTTTACTCTTCCTTTGCCAGGCTTCTGTGGCATGGGTACAGGGGCTCCCAGGGCTTGTGAGCAAGGCAGTGCCGTGGCTGTCCCCTAGAGCAGACTTCTGTGTCCTGATGGCTGTGACCTGGGGCCCCTCGGGGCCAGGAGAGGCTCTGTCAGCGATGGAAAGAAACCTGGTACTGGCGTTGGGGAAAATACCACCACCCAAGCATAACACGATCCCAGGGCAGCCTTCAGACGGGCGGTAATTGTCCCCATGGAGAAGCTCCAGGCCCTGGGGAGACTTCCAGCAAAGCAGCTGACCGGACAGTCTTCCCTCGTGGAATTTCTCTGCCGAGAGGCACCAGGGGCGTGAACTGCAACTCCCTTTTCTAGGTCCCTTCTAGTTCTGCCCTGGGCACCGACCCCCACCCCAGGGGGCTTCTGCATGTGGAGCGAGGAAGGGGGTGGCCGGTGTAATCTGGGGTTCTGCCCCCTCCCTGCCCACACGAGCACACACACGTCTGCTCTTCCCTCAGGCCTCTGCTCTGGTCAAGTCCGGCTCATGCCATCCTGACTTTCAGTGCAAGGCCCCAGAGGAGTGGCGTCAGGGTGGACTGGGGCACAGCTGTGTCTCTGGCTCTGCGGGGGGAGGAGGAGAACCAGAGCGGCAGCGGCAGTTGGGGAGAGTGATCATGGCAGCCTGAGCTTGGAGTAGAGAGGACCCGTCCCCTTCCCACCCCGACCCCAGAGCTTCAGGGAGTAGTGGTGGCTTGTCCACCTGAATGCCCGACCCTTGGTTTGCTAGTGGCCGTGGCAGAAGCTGAATATCCGCCTGGGATCCTTAGTGCCTGCGGCTGCGCCAGGAGTGGGGCCTTTGTCCCAGACTCAGGATGTCCTCTGGTGCCTTGGGTCCCCCTCCATCCCCTACAGAGTCGGTGGACAGCAGACCCTACCAGCAGTGGAAGGGTCAGCCAGGGGTCTGGAGCAACCTCCTGGGTGTGGCCAGTGACTCAGGCAGCTGTGGCACTTCCAAACCACTGTCTGCGCCGCCAGGTGCTGTGGTCACTGCAGGAGAAACAGATGTTTGCTGTCACTGTTTATGCTCTTGACAAGCATAGCCGTCTCCACCCCATCTCCCCTTTGAGGCCTGAACATGTGTTGCTGCTGGTTCGGGGAAGCGGCTTACTCCACCGAAAGACATGGCCACGGTCAGTCTGGGGAGCTGGGGCTGGCCGGGTCTGCCAACCCCCACCCAGGAACCTTCCACAGTGCCCTCTGGGGCAGGTTGCTCAGAACTGCAGGGGCGGCTCAGGTCATCTGGGCCACCCCTCATCTTCAGCTCTCATCTAAATCGGAATAGGCAAACTGCAGCCCACAGGCCACATCCACAGCCACCTGCCTTCTCGTAAGGCGAGTTTGGAACACAGCCGCTGCCACGTGTCATGTAATGGATGCTTCTGCTCCACAGCAGCTGACTTGAATAGCTGAGATCAGAGACCCTGAATGGCCTGCACATCCCCAAAGTATTTACTGCTTGGCCCTTTACAGAAAAAGTTTGCTGACCTCTGGCCAATCATGCTGAGCGGGATGGCTTTCTTCCCTGTCCCTTCCCATGAACCCTCAGAAAGTTATTTCAGGTTATGGAGGCGTATTTCTTCTGCATCTTCATTTAATATTGACAGTCTTCATCGTCAAACTGATAATGATGGTGACGATTAAAATAATAGTCCTTTATTCTTAGCTCTGGGAAGTTAGCCTCTTTTGCTCCTTTGACCTTTGATAAGTGGCTGTTGTATCTGTATAATTATGTAACTCTCTTCTGAATTGTTATGTAAATTATTTTATCAGCCTTAAGAGCAGGGCCAGTATCTTCTTTAAAGAGGCAGAGCTTTGTATCCGCCTGGTCAGGCTTGAAGGGCTCCGTCTCCCCTGGGTACAGCTGTTCACCCACCAAACATGTTGGCAGACGGCAGCTCTGCTCCCTTTCATTGGTACTTCTATATTTTACTTTTTAGTTTAGTAAAAATTAATAGTTATTGAGCACTTAACAATGCTGAGCACAGTTTAATCCTTACAGTGACCCCACGAGACAGGTCTTTCTACTCCCCATTTTACAGTGAGGAACTAAGGCCTGGAGAGGTCAAGTAAGTTGTCTAGAGTCACACAGCTCAGATGCACCAGGGTCAGGATTCAAACTCCAGCCCTGGAGGTCAGGTTCCCACCACTGCTCTACACTGCCTTGCCTCATATCCGCTTCCAGGGAGTCTTACAGTGAGCAGCTTGGGAGGCCCTTGGCAAAGCTCCCCCTGGTGCTCCAGGAATGGGCCAGTAATGAGCCAGGACAAGCTCCTACAGAGGCTTCTTTCCCCCTTCATCCTCTTCTCATCGCGGGAGTCCAGACTGGTGTTGGATCTTGGGTGCTGAGAGCCTCTCTCCATGGGGGACCCACCTCTTTACCAAGAGAAGGGTCCTAGCACCACCCAGTGGGAGAGGGTGGAGCTGGAGGCCTGGGCCAGCTCAGGAAGCGTGAGCCCCAGGACCCATTCGCGGAGAACTTGCCGCTGCCCAGGTAAGGGGACACTGTTCCCCCAGATTCTGGGAAGCTGGCTCTCGGAGTGCCACAGTTAGGTCTTGGGCAGCCCTTTCTCAGGCTCACCAAGGAGCCAGGAGCAGCTGAGAGGAACAGAGACATCTTGCCAGGCTGATGGCAGCAAAGGTGAAAGGTCATTCACTAGCGGCTACCAATTTTGTACACTGCGTGCAAGGCCCTGGCCTTAGGAAGGAGCCGGGCCCCTGCGATAGCCACACCTGCCAGCCCAGTGCAGTAGCTGGTCTGCCGAGGAAACAAAACGAGCAGATGGTTCTTTTCCTTCCTGAATGTTGGGTGTCGCACCTGCTGGGCTGAAAGCTGTTCAGAGCCTGCCTCCGGGATTTGTATCAGCTCTCTTGGCGGGAGCCCAGATGAAGTTAGAAGGATCCCTCGCTGGACCCAGTATGTGGCCTGGCCTCTGCTGACTCTCCCCTGGGGACCTATCTCAGCTCATCAGACCAGTCCAGTGACCTGGCCCCTACAGACCCCTGGGTAATGATAGAAGTCCCAGATCATGACAAACACAGCCTCCTTGTATTTGATGTGGGCCAGGCCCTGTGGAAACACTGTTACATGTTGTCTCACAGCATCTCCAAGACAACCCTAGTATTCTTGTTTTACAGACAAGGAAAATGAGGCTCAGAGGCTGTCACAGACCCATGGCTGAGCCTGTGGAGTCTTAAAGCTTAGATTCAAACTGTTTATTATCTCCAGAGTTCATATAAACAGATTTTTTTTTTTTTTATGCCTATAGCACCTGGTCTTCCTAGGTGGTCTCCCATCCAAGTACTAACCAGGCCTGACGCTGCTTAGCTCCTGAGATCAGACATCGGGCTTGTTCAGGGTGGCATGGCCATAGACCATGGACCATGGCTCCACTGGGGTGCGAACCCAGGACCTTCTGCATGTAAAGTAGACGTGCTAACTGCTACACTATGGAACCACGTCCTAAACAGACTTCAGATGCCAAGCCACACAGGACTTGGCCCTGGGGACCCTGGTTTTGGTGAACCAGCCACAGGAACATCACTGTGCCGTGGGGGGAGCTGAGAGTGGACACTCTTACAGCCCAGGCAGAGTACTGTCCCATGGGGACCTGAGCCCAGGCTGACTACTCTCCCACCATCTTCTGGGCCCAGACTAGAGGAGCTGTCTCTCCTATGGGTCCACCAGATAAGCTCATTTTCCAGATCGGGTTTCTAGATCTCCTCCCTCCCCTACCAGCGGGGCAGGCATCCATCCGAGCTCAGGGTCCTGCGGGGTCCTTCCACTGGCTGCCCCCTCCTCAAGGTGCCCCCTCAACGCCTTTACCCTAAGGCCTTCCTTTGCTGTCCCCCGGAGTTTCCTGAGGGCCCAGGCCTGCCCCTCATGCGGAATGTCCAGCACAAGGACTTTTCAAAACCAGGAGTGAAGATGCACTTCAGATCTCGTCATTTCTGTTCTCAGCTCACTGTGGATATCCCCTCGGCCCTCCTCAGGGGTCTCACCATTCGGGAAGACACTGGAGACTCATGTGGGCAGATGCTTATGTGTTTACGACCTGTGTATAGTAACAGTCACGTAATTAACAATTCGTCTCTTTTTCTCCCTGCCCCCCGCTATTGCTTCTAAGATTAGCTTCACAGTCTGGTGCCCATTTTACAGGAGCAATAATGGAGGAATAGAGATGATTTCATGCTTCTTGCTTCTACACTGTTGTGTTTTTCTTCATTCTATTCAAATTGTGCTCATTCACCCCGCTCCACATAAGCAGCTCAGGGTCATCTTTGAGACTGAGCTCAAAGATCTTGTCCTCTGAGCATCCTCAGTGTTCCTCGTATCCTCCTGGTTCCCACAGAACTTTGAACTTGCCTCTTACCAGCAGTACTCACGAGGCACCTGATCAGGAGCTGTGCACATTCCCTGGCTAGTTAAGTCTTTCTTAGGCCTGACTCCTGAGTGGGCTGGATGCGTCCCTTACAGCTCGTATGCGGGAGCCATCCAGTATTTGCTGAATGAATGACTGAACTTATTATGGTAAAAGTTTGAGATTTAGGAGATTTAGAAGCTTTAGTCACCTTCTTCCATCTGCCTCTGATTAGCCGTGTTTTTTAGAACGTATATTCTATCGAGAAGCCATAGTAGCTACGACAATAGCCTAGCACCATCTGGACTCAGAGTGTGTTACATGTCACATGCATAATGATGGTTTGTCCGGCGGGGTCCACGCCTCATTTTGCAGAGGAGGAAGCTGAGACTTGGCCGATCGCTGTGGACAGGCTGGCTGACGGGACTCCTGGCATTCTGCATTCTCCCTCCCAACTTTCTGGAAGTCCAACCAGGCATTATTATTTCTTCTGGACTTTCCTCCCACCCAGAGCGCTAATTCCAGCGAGTTGCCAGTGTATCATATCTGAGCGCGTTTGTTTGATTTGTTCTACCACAGATTCCAGAACGGGAGCAGCTCTCCATCCCAAAGATCGAGTCTCCGGAGGGCTACTATGAAGAGGCTGAGCCGTATGACATGTCCCTCAATGGTACATCCGGGGCCGTGGCTGGGGATCGGACGGAGTCCAGCTGCTCTCTGCACAGATCCTGGTGCTGGAAGCAGAGGACAACCTGGGCTGCTGGTCCCAGAGAGCGGCCCAAGCTGAGAACTGGGCCAAGCGCACTGGGCATCTGGTCTGGTGGGGAGCTGAGACCTACAGCAGACCAGCCCGCCTGCAAGGAAGGGCTCAGGGTGGTCCACGATGGTCCTGGTGAACTGTCTGATGCTTTCGGTGTTCCAGCCTAAATGTTGCCAGGTTCAGCCCAGAAGTGGGACAGAGGAAAGACGTGTTGGTCAGACTGAGGCAGAGCCCAATTTCCAGGGTTCTGTCGTCGGACTCACAGTTACTGTGCTCCCACTGTGTGCCACATACTTCTAGAAGTCAGGAACCCGGAGCATTGGGAGAGCTCAGCAGTCACAGCCCTTAAGTTCTGTGAGAAGAGACAGACGACAAATAAACATAGGAGGCGTCAGGGGGTGATAAAGATGGAAACCAGCAGAGGCTGGCGTGGGGCAGGAGAGGGGTATTCTTTAGATCTCCTCCCTCCCCTACCAGACTTTACATAGTGTGACCCCGAATGAAGGGAAGTGGGCGAGGCAGAGAACTGCAGGAAGAACTTCCCAGACAGCACGGTACGTGCAAAGGTCCTGAGGCGGGAAAGTTCTTAGCACGTTTGAGGAACAGCAAGGAGGCTATCGTGGCAGGAGCAGGGGAGGGGAGGGGAGGGGAGAGACGGCAAATGGGGACGCAGAAGTCAGGTGCAGGCCACGGTGAGGACTTTAGCTTCTCTCTCAATGACACCGCGAGCCCTTGGAGGGTTGCTCGTTGGCCGACCTAACTTAGGTATTAAGACGATCACCTGTCCTGTGGGGACAGGGCTCGCACTGGAGCCATCTGTCCTTGGCCAGGGTTCTCAGCCTGAGGAAGTCAGATCAGAAATCCTCTTTAACACAGAAAAGCTCCAAAGGTTCTGGGAGAAAGAGATGGTTGCGACCTTACTCTTCCGGGCAGCTGGTCCACTCACTCTCCCCTTCTTACCTCCTCCTCTTTCCATCCTTTGTAAGCGAAGAGTCTTTGAAAGTGTAAGCGATTTGCAAATGTGAGAGGTGAGGGTCCCTGGTGATGGGAATGAACTGGGCTGACGGGGGCATCGTGGGTTCCATTGAGAACAGGACCAGGGATGAGACAGGACCAGTCGCCTGGAGCCTCATCGGATTCTGCTCTTTCTTCACGTTTCACCTACTGCCCGCGGCCCCGGGAACAGTGTAGGAGGGAGGGCCTGTTCGGTCTGAGGTTGTCTTCTTCTAAGAGGCTGGTGTGGTAGGCATAAGTCACTCAGCTTGAACCCACTGAGTGTGTGAGGCATTGCCGAGCTACCGGCCACGCTGTGATTTCAGACCGAAGCTGAGGGTGTGGTGCTGCTGTCTGGCTGTGTCTGGAAGGTGGAAGCCGTGAGTCACCATGGTGAGACTCTACCTTTGTTGCATCTTCGGCCTGGCTCTCCCGTGGGTGTAGCCTGTGCCAGCCGGGGCCTGCCTTCCAGACACTCGCAGGGGCCTGTTGTGGGGCAGACACCTCATCTTGACACAAACAAGCGATCAGAAGGACCTCAGCTTCTTGGTGTCTGTTGCTAGACTGTGAATTCATTAGCCAAGAGTGGGGGCATCATCACAGGGTCAGCTCAAACACAGCAGTGGGGTTGGGAAGATGCCAGGTTGCCTTTCGTCTCCTGCCTGGACAAGGACGAAGAGTGACTTGGGGAGAACAGGCCACATTTGCCACAAAGAGGGGGCCTCACCTGTGATATAAGCCGGCCAGTGTGTTGTCCCCCACATGGGTTTGAGTTGTAGCCAAGAGTGGGGGGATCATCACAGGGTCAGCTCGAACACAGCAGTGGGGTTGGGAAGATGCCAGGTTGCCTTTCGTCTCCTGCCTGGACAAGGACGAAGAGTGACTTGGGGAGAACAGGCCACATTTGCCACAAAGAGGGGGCCTCACCTGTGATATAAGCCGGCCAGTGTGTTGTCCCCCACATGGGTTTGAGCTGTGAGACGTGCAGGTCACAGCAGGAGGAATGACCGTTGGGCTCTGGCCCCTTCCTCTAGTTGGTTGGCCAGCGGCGATTGTGCTGACTTCCTACAAAAGGCCAGTGTCTTGGATTCTTGTCCTGCTTTGTCAGCACTTTCCCCACATTGCTCCTCAGGGTCAGGCTCTTGTTTCCAAGTAAAACTTCAGTAAGTACCCCGCTGGCCTGTGCAGGGGATAATCGTGTCTGTCCTGCTTGCCCAAGACACCTGCTCCTTCATTGATGTCTCCTGCTTGGGTAATAACCGCTGCTGTAACAAGCAGTCCCCTTTCAGTTCATAGTCACAATACAAATCTGCTTCTCACTCATGGACAGTTCGATATGGGTGTTACTGGTCAGTGGGTAGTGTGGGTACCCAGGCTTCTTCCAGGGTGGGCTCTGCCACCCTCTGAGGCCACAGAGTCCTCTGCAGAGAGAGAGAGAGAGAGAGAGAGAGTGGAGAACCCCTCTGTGTGTCTTAAAAGCACCAGCCAGAAGGGACACACATCTCTCTACCCACGTTCTGTTGGTGGTGATTAGTCACGTGGTCATCTCCGGATGTGAATGAAGGGCTGGGAAATGAAGTCCTTAGCCGGGCTGGGGCCTCTCCTGACAAGCCCACACCTCCACAGGGAAAGCACTGACTTCTGGTGAGCAGGCGGCCACGTCGCCACCTCCAGGTCTCTCTCTCGGTATCTCTGTCCCTCTCTGCATCTTGTCTCTCTCCAGCTTGCCTTCGTCTGTGTTTCCGGATATCATACAGGTCATTCTGGCAGATTTCCTCCCACTGGAGTCCCCAGATGGGTGCGGGTGCCCGAAGGAGTCGTTTATGCCACGATCACCTTGGGTACTGCTTGTCCCCCGAGCTGGAATGCCGTCGAATCTGTGCCTGCTGCCTGGCTCTCAGACAGGGTCATGCCCCGAGTGCGGCCACTGCTCTCTTCCTGCTCTCATGCCGGGTCCTGCATGCCATGTGTCATCCCTCCAGCAGAGACTTACCCTGCCTTCCACAGACCCCTGCCTGTGGCATCTGAAAGCATGGCTGAAGGACCCCGCGTGTTGCATGGTTGTCCTGCCCTCTGTTCCCGAGGACAGGACACAGTGGGGTGCAGCCCACCTAGGGACCGCAAAAATGGGGACGGAATTATCTGATCATCCTGCCCTTCACACCTATTTGCCCTAGGACCCCTGGAAGCCAAGTATGTGTTTTAAGAACATCTTACATTTATGGTGGTGCTCTATGATTGCTCTTGGGGAGAAACAAAATGAAGATATTTGCCCAAAATATCCTCCAAGCTACTCCACGTAGCTTGAGGTGCTATGATTTTGCTCTTTCTTCTCATCTCTCTGCATCCCCTGCCGAGGTGGACGGGCAGATCTTAGATTTCTGAGTAGCCCCAGAAGCACGAAATAGGCAGCGGCCTGGGCCAGCTTCTTCACACTGAGCTCTGGAGCTGCTCCCATTACTTTTTGTTACGGGAAGGGGTGTCGCAGGGACCTTGCATTCATGCTTATTTCACTTACTGTACACATAATACAATACTGACAATAAGGACTTTTTAAAAATTTATTTAAATTCGTTTCAAGTATACAGTGCATTGGTGAGACATCTATATAGTTCATAAAACGATCCCCCCAATTGCTCCCTCCCTCCCCTGGCCCTCCGCCTAGCCATCGTATTAATGCTATTAACCGCATTCCCTCTTTTTCTTAAAAAATAAAATCGCCTCGATCCTACCACCAGATCAGATCAACTACTTTGAGTCCTCCCTGCTGCCTTTCAGTCCTGATCTGTTTGCATAAATAACTAAATGTGCTTTCTCTCTTACCGTCATATCTGTCGAGTTGCAAAATAGTCTTCAGGGTTTTCATTGATCACAGTTGCATGCTATGCTCCTAGCTGGATGAAACCATGCTTTCCCCATTCTGTTTCTGCTGACTGTTAAATTGTGCTCGAATTAATGTCTTAATGCATGTAAACTTCTCCCCTTCCTTCCTTTTTGAAAAAACCAGTTTCCTAGGGTAAACTCCCAGGACCGGGATTCTTGGGTCGAAGGATACAGGTGTTTTTATAGCTCTTGAAACAGCAGGCTGCCAGACTATTTTCTGAGAGGCCCATGTTGGTTTACGTTGCCACCGGTAACGTGAGAGTTCGGGGTCCCACACTGGGTAGCACTGCTATTTTCAATCTTTGCTTGTTTAATAGGTGTAAAATTCTGAACTGGGCAACACTTTTATTAAGCCGTGAAGAGGAGTGGTACCACACAGCTTTTAAAGTGTTATTTTCAAAAATATCAAAAATGTAAAACACGTTTTTATTGGCATCGTAGTCAGAATAACTGTGGCAGTGGCCTCATCTGTTTTCCTATATTCGAATTCAAGTGTAGCTCTGTTTTCTTGGTATGCAGGGACCTAGCTATGCAGGTGGTAGAGGCAAGGGGCTTCTGGAGAAGGCAGGACAAGGGGCTTCTGGGCTGTGTCTTTCCTGGAGGATGTCATGGGGAAGAACGAGAGGCTTCATTCATTCACCCTGACTCGAGGACACAGATGGTGTGTGTAGGAGTCACAGGGAAGCCCATGGTAGACCCACTCTGTGAGAGCAGCCCAGTAATGGGAGCAGTTGGAAGGAAGTGAGCTCCCCATCCATGGAGAATTCAAGCAGAGGCTGGATGGAGCGCCATCAAAGTTACAACACATAGGATTTCTGTACTGAGCCAAGGGTTGGACCAGAGACCTTGAGTTCTCTGCGTCCCACTTTTGCAGGCTTTATTGATTGATTGATTGATTGATTGATTGTGTGTGTGTGTGTGTGTGTGTGTGTGTGTGTGTCCGTGTCCGTGTCCGCCCTTGTGCACTAAGTTTGTGCCGAGAGGTGTTCGGTGGGGGAGAGAGAGAGAATAGAGTCTGTGCAGGATGAGGTAGATTTTGGAAAAGATTGCGACCATGAGGAGAGCCTGGGGGAATGGGAAGGTGGCCCCTTCCCCAGAAAGCCATTTCTGGCCATGGTTCCTTTTACCTTTTGTTTCTGAGGTGCCATATCCCCTCCCTGCTTCCAGGACAGAATCGGGTCAGAGCGGGTCCAGCCGGGCAGACAGCTCTTGGAGGCTTGCCACGTGCCCAGCTCTTGGCTCAAATGGTGACCCCGTCCTCCCGGCCCCTTAGATGACAGAGCGCCAGGCCTGGAGAACCAGAAAGAGCCTCACCCATCCACTTCATCTTTCAACTGAGAAAACAGAGGCCTTGAGTGGGGTCTGAGCATATGGTCCAGGGCAGTCTGAGCATATGGTCCAGGGCAGTCTGAGATGACAGGATTTGAGGAGAGAAAGGGAGAAACCCTTGGTTTTAGGTTGTTTGTGTCTGTGGCCAGAGGTCCGGAGGTGAGGGCCGGAAAATTTGCCTGGGTCTGTGGTTGGCAGCTCTGGAGCTGGTTCAAGAGCCTGGAGGGGCAGGTGGGTTGTGGCCTGGGGGCCAGTGGCTGCTCCTGCCTGCTGCCTGTTGTCCCCCCTCCTGAACGAACGCGCATGCTTAGGAATGTCCCCTGCTTGGCGGGGCTGTGACCGAGCGCATCTTCCTTGCAGAGGATGGAGAGGCAGTGAGCAGCTCCTATGAGTCCTACGATGAGGAGGAAGGCAGCAGAGGCAAGTCGGCCCCCTACCAGTGGCCCTCCCCTGAGGCCAGCATCGAGCTGATGCGTGACACCCGCATCTGCGCCTTCCTGTGGCGCAAGAAGTGGCTGGGGCAGTGGGCCAAGCAGCTCTGCGTCATCAAGGACACCAGACTCCTGGTCAGTTGGTCTCATGTTCTGGTCTTCTCTCTCTTTTGGGGGGAGGAGATGGTCCCTAATATCAGGTGGTTAGACTCCTTTATATCAGATTTTCATCACTTTCTAACTTGAAATCGTACATAGAATTTTGCATGCATGAGTGTGCTGTTTCTTTTTTTTTAATTTGAATTTTATGATTTCTTATTGTCAAAAAGGTAATGAGACAATCTGATCAATCTTCTAGGAATGCGCTTTTTCCGAGGTAGAAAAGTCTAGTCGTTTTCATCAGACCACCCCTCCCCCACCCCCATCCCATCCACATTTTTTCCAGGGACCTTTTTGTCCCCAGTCTGAGGGCCTGTTCTTCCCCGCTTCCAGGACACTGGAGATTGGGGGTGGAGCCTGCTGCCAGGTCAGGGCTCCCCTAGCCCTGGTTCTGGCTACTGCATGTCTGTGTGGCATGAGAATCATAAATTAGGTGTTTTCTCAGAAGTCACAATATTTTGCATTACTGATTATAAGACAAGACCCATGAAGAAATCAGAAGGTATTACCAGAGCCCTGTTTCCTGTTATTTAAAGTAAAATTCACAGTTTTATGTTGTGATTTGAAGTTCCGTGGCATCATACAAACACCCTTTCCTCACTGCTCCCAACGTGCCCTGCTCCGTGCAGATGCGCCGTTGGGTGACCCCGTTGCAGCCCCACGAGGACCCCCATTTTGCAAATGAGAGACCGAGAGGCACAGTATTTTCTCTGGTAGGGGAAGAAAATCCCTTCTTTGCTTTGCTAGCAATATCATCCTCCTAACCAAGCAGATGAAAAGCTTAGTCTTCTTCCCCTGTGGACCCCTTGCCGGGGTAGCTGAGCGAGAAACGCAGAGGCGGAGAAATGAGACAAGCGTGTTCCACCCCGGATATGTGAGTGGTGCCTGTAGGAGACGTATTTTAGGGACCAGCCAGGCCCACAGTGAGGTTAGAGCAGCTCAGATAAGCAGGTCCCGGGGCCAGTGAGAAGTGAGCTTGAAGGAGAGGCAGACGACCTGCCTGTCTGATGCCGAGACCAGGAGTTGCCTTGTTTTGAGGTTATGCGTCTGGCCTCTGGCTCTGCGGGGCCCAGCCCAGCTCTCAGCGGGTCCTGCCACGCCCAGCAGCCCCTCCCTCCGCAGACCCCGGCTGGGCTTGGCACCCCTGGCGAAGCGGTGCCTCGTCTCTTTGCTTCCAGTGCTACAAATCCTCCAAGGACCACAGCCCTCAGCTGGACGTGAACTTGCTGGGCAGCAGCGTTGTGCACAAGGAGAAGCAAGTGCGGAAGAAGGAACACAAGCTGAAGATCACGCCGATGAACGCCGACGTGATCGTGCTGGGCCTGCAGAGCAAGGACCAGGCCGAGCAGTGGCTCAGGGTGAGGGAGCCCCCGGGGGGGTCGGGTGCTGGGGAAACGGGCCTGCTCCCCACAGGGCCTCCTGGGACCCCTGCAGTTCTGGCTCCCCAGCTTTTCCCGAAAAGGATCGATGTTGTCCGGGGTAAAAGGTCTAGCTCGTTCCAGGTCCCAGGGCCTCCTGCGTTCTGAGTGGTAGCAATCGGCCTTGGGGAAATGGACCGCAGCACTCTGCTGCCAGGTCCGCGTCCTTCTCAGTGCCCTGGACGTGGGTTCGAGTTGAAATCGTTTTATCTTCTGGCCTCTAATGATACGTCATCAACCTCCTTATTAAAAAAGAATAGATGTCACTGCCACTTGTTACTTACCATGGGCCATGCACTTTGAGCAAGTTTAACCCACTTTTAGCAAGTATAACACACATTGCAGGAAGCTGGGTGCTGTTAATGTCCCGTTTGGAATGGAGTTTAAGGCTAACAGGGAGGAGGTGACCAATCAAGGCCAGCTGGCAAGTGGCTGCATCGAGTTTCAAGCCCAGAACTGACCAGGGCTGGGTTCCGTCACCACCAGTGCACACGGTCACTTCTGCTTACACTTTCCGTGACGTAGCCCGCATGAGGGAGCACCTGGGAGGGCCCTGCCACCCCGTATTAAAGACGGGCTTGACGATTCCCGAAGGCGTAAGATTTGTGTCAAGAAGATGCCCACGGTTGCAGAGGAATCTCCAGACCTAGCAGGGCCCTTGGTGAGGCCAGAGAGAGCCAGAGGCCCCTTCCCTCCTTTCTGCGTCTCTGCCACGTCGATGCATTTCCATTCAGGAGCATTATATCCGCCCTCCACCGCCGTCTGTACACACACACAGATATGCACTCACATGCACGCGCGCACAAATACTTACATACGTGCACGCGCACCGCACCCATCTGTACACACACACAGATATCATGCACTCACATGCATGCGCACACAAATACTTACATACGTGCACGCGCACCGCACCAGCTCCCAGCGCCCAGTGTCGCTCCCCTGACTGCCCAGACCCACCTGCCCTTCCCCTGACGCCCAGCCTCCCTCTCCAACGCACGCCCTCTTTCTCAGACCTCTCTCCTCCCCACCCTCAGTCTTGGTGGTGGTTTAAAGACAAGAACACTTTGAAAAGACACGCCCTCTCTATTGGCCTTCACGGGCCCTTTCCTTCCTGCTCAGGTGAGTGCAGAGGCAGACTTGGCCGGAAGCACCCGGCTCTTGAGAGACTGCACACGCTTGCACTCGGGTGGGACCGGTTAGCCTGTCCAATGGGCTCTGAACCAGACGCATCTACCTACCTGCCCTGGGCCTCTGTGTCTCAACTCTGCATAGTCATACCTGTGCCTTCAGAGTTGGACAGATATATGACAGTAAATAGGAGACGTTGAGTTTGGAACAAGAGTCCCAGGAACGGCAGGCACAAGGCAGAACTCTTGCAGAGAAGTGGAAACGCCACGCCCTCGAGCCTGGACGCTCGGCCTCGCGTGCTTCCGTGTATCTAGGCCCCAGCCAGTAAGGATGCTAATGAACGCGTTGGGATGAGTCCTCACAGCGGCCATGGCACAGGTGTTGTCCCATCTTACACATGTGGTGGCTGAGGCTCAGTCAGGCCCAAGGTCTGTCTCAGGAGTGAGAAATGCCTTACCTCTCCCCGTCTCCAGAGCTATTCTTCCTTTCATTCTTTAGCTTTTCTGATTTTAACCCCTTTTCGTAAACGGCTCTCGGCGGAGACTGAAAAAGGAGGGTCTTTGAAATCACTCTTGCTGAGTCCATATCTCCAAAGCGCTTCCGGCTGGGCAGTGTGATTGTGGCTGCCTTGGGCCCTTATCCTCTGGGAATCCCCCATGTGGCCCCCGGCTCAGAGCAGGGGTGCTGCTTGGTGTGGCCAGTGCCACCTCTGACCTGCGTGCCCCTAGCCTAGGGCTGCAGAGCTGAGGGATGGCTGCTCTGGCCATCTTTGGACTTTGTTGTAAAAGTCTCCACTTGCCCACACCCAGAACATATGGGGCCTGCAGGAGAGAGGAACAAGCCCCACCCCCATCACAGCCCACACAGCTGGGTCCTGAGGCCACATGTGGGCCTGCTATTGGGGGTGGGGTGGCTCTTTGTTCTTGGGAAATCATGCGTCTTCTCTCTTACCTCTATCTACTCTGTCGTGACCTTGAGGGGCTCCAGCTTCAGTGTGGTGTGGGTGCAGGCCAGGCAGGCCTCAGGGGCCTGGGCCTCTGCTGACAGCCGCCTTCTTCCTTCAGGTCATCCAGGAGGTGAGCGGCCTGCCCTCAGAAGGAGCATCCGAGGGAAACCAGTCCACCCCAGAAGCCCAGCGCCTGAACTGTCAGAAGGTAAGGCTCTACTCTGCCTGGAAGGCGAGTCCAATTCCATGTTTACTCCATAAAAATGAAACGTATAAAATCAGGATCTTTGGCTTTTGCGTTCCAGCCCAGTTAGTAAGCAACGCGCAATGCTTGGATAAGGCGGTCCCTTCAGCTTGGCAGGAAACTGATGGAGCCGATGCGGATCTGAAATATCTTTTTGCTTGGGCAAGGGGCGGGGGAAACGCTTGATCGGGACAAAGTCACTCTGTCTTCCATTCTTCGGCAGGGAGATTTACTGTTCCAGGCTCTTTCTTCCCACTCATTCCCAGAGTTGGGGAAGCTGTCTCGATGTTGACCCCGGCCGGACGGCTCCAGTGCTCATTTGCAGGGAACTGCGGGGCCTCTGGTGAAGGATCAGAGTCAAGAAAGTAGGGCTGGGGGCTGCCCGAGCGGATGACCTCACATGCAGGGTCACATACCATGTCCCCGAGTATCTGCAGGCAGATGCCCTGAAGCCTGGGATGCACAGAGCAGCCAGAGGGGTCACTGTTTGATCTCAGGGTCCTGTAGAGGGTACGCAGAGGGCTTGGGCAGGAATGACGGCCTCTGTTCTTTGGGAAGGCACGGGCCATCCCCCGTGTAGAAATACGGACAGCCCTTTTAGAGGGGCCTGTCTTAGTTGTCTCCCTCATTCCTTGGTCGACAAGAAACAAAAATCAGTCAGCTTGGGTTTCCATCACGTTGGGGTGAGAATCAGCAGCTTTCCCTGAAGACCTGCATGCAGTGTTCCCTGGCCAAGGACGTCAGTCCTTGGTCCCACCTAAGGCCAGCCCTGTTGGTTGGGAGTCCCCCAGCTTGTTTTCCAGAGGTCTGCAGTAAGTGCTTCTAGAAGAAGCTTGATTGGAAACGTCCGAGGGCTTCATACTCGAACGGCAGCAGCCGCTCCCCTCCGATAGGGACTCTGCAGACGGGCTGTTATCCCTGTTTTACACACACGCAGAGCAGGGTTTCGAGAGCTGGAGAATGTTTCAGTCGATTCTCAAAACGTATCTTTGTGCCCCTGGTTTGTGTGGGTGGTTCCCAGCTTGACATGAGCTTCAGTTCGGACGCCGACTCTAAGGCCACCCCCGGGGCTGGCTACCTGCCCTCCCCACTGGCTGCAGAGCTGCTGTCATATCAGGCTGAGCAGCCGTTTCGAGAACTTGTACACGAGGCGAAGGTGCTCTGGGACAGGGCAGGGCGCCTCAGGAAGGGAGGAGGAAGGCAGGTCCTCCAGGGAGCCCCGGAGGGAAGCCCAGCCAGTGTCCCACCAGTGACCTGGGCTCCAGGGCGACCCCTACATTCAAGAGTAATCTATTATTTTCTCTTAAATTGTGGTCTCCGAGGTAACCATTTCCAGATAAGATCACCCACTGTCTCTCTCTCTCTCTTCCACAGCCAGATTTAACTGAGAAGTACCTGTTCGCCTCAGAGTATGGCAGCTCTGTCGATGGCCATCCTGAGGTCCCAGAGACGAAAGATGGTACCAGTGCTTATGGCCTTTGGCCTAGGATGGGGAGGGGGGACAGGATCCCAGGCCGTGAGGTTCAGCTGTCTGGCTCCACCCTGATGGGTTTGAACAGCCGCCTCCAACATGCTTCCAATTTATAAACTCCTTGGGAATATTACAGCTGACAGATCCAGGAAAACGGGAGAGGCGGCCAAATTTAAGTTTCATGAGTTGCCAGGGGTAGAATATTCTCTCATCTCTTATTTGCTAACAATTTCAAATCTCTCTGAGCCAAATACAGTCAGTCTGTAAAGATGCTCAAGCGCTGACACATTGCATGAGAGAAGCTGATGTGCCACTCGAGCGTGCGATGCTAGAGACACCTGACTCTGGCCTGTGGACCCCGGTTTGGGGAGCAGGCGTGTATCTGTGTGTGCACGTGTGTGTGCGTGCATGTGTGCGTGTGCAGGGAGGGGCAGGTGTGGGAAGGGTCTGTTATTTTCTCTACCCTTCGTAAGGGCGTGTTGCCAAGCTGTGGGCTGTGCTCGTGGCTTTCTCTCTCGTCTTGACAGTCAAGAAGAAGTGTTCTGCCGGCCTCAAGCTGAGCAACCTGATGAACCTGGGCAGGAAGAAATCGACCTCGCTGGAGCCTCCAGAGAGGTCCCTCGAGACATCCAGTAAGAATCTTAGCCACCTTCTGGACCAGAGGGCTTGTCCACTGGGCTGGAGCCTGTCTCCAGGACAGCTGCTCAGCTGATGAAGGCAGGGCTTTTAGGGCTCACTTTAAACGTCTTCACGGATGGTGAGCTTGTCGCCCATAGTTTATCTTCACTGCAGGTGGTTCTCAGGTCTAACCAGACTCTCGCTGCAATGCAAGATCTTTTGTGGAAGTGAAGGGTAATTGATGGCTGTTCTCCTGATGGTCTTTAAAAGTCTGTTCATTCGATCATTGTTTATAGGGCATGGCAGGCACAGTGTCAGTGACGGGGACGAGCAGAGGGAGGACACAGTCCTAAGAGCGTAAAGCTTAAGAGGGATGATAGCTTTATGCCCGTGAACACACACCTGCCGCCTCAGCAGCTGTAAGGACTCGGGGGCAGAGATGGCTTCCTGGACCTGAGCCTTGAAGGACACACAGGAGCTAGTTGGGCTGGGGTGGCACCCATGGGCGGGAGATGGGCCCTGGAGAGATGCATTAAGGGGCCCCCAAAACCCATGTTGCTGGGACAGAGGGTGTGTGTAGGTGCTGGGAGGCTCTTACAGGTCACCTCTGCTGCCCTCCCTCAGCCTTGAGGAAACCAAGGCCAGGAGAGACACCTTTCCCAGAAAATGCCCTGGGGTGGCGCCCATCATTGCATGCCCTGCAGGCTGTTGCTGTCCACCTTTGGGCCCTTTCCTCTTCCTCATGCATCCCATGCCGCAGCCCGGGCTTTCGTCCTGAGTCCCAGTTTGTTCTGCGTTTTGAAGCTGGCCAGGTGGCTGGGGGGTGGGGCGGAATGGGAAAGTGGCAGAAAAGGCCTCACCTTTGGGCCTTCTGCTTCTCCAGCCAGGCACTGGCTAATGGCCTGGCTCTGCCGGTCCCTGTGGCTTTGAGGCATCAGAGCCTGGTTACGATGAGTCACTTTGGGAGTTGTGGCTGGATGTTATTCAGCAATGAACCATGCTCCTGCCCCCTGTGGCTGGGGAGGGGCCAGAGAGAACACAAGGGCTCTCCTTCCCGAGATTCAGCATCCGAGCTCCCACCCCTCCTCACCCAGAGTTCTTTTTGGTCCACAGTTCTTGTGATGGGTGAGTGGGGCATCTGCCCAAATGAGCCAGAGGTCCTAGGTCCTGGGCTCAAATTCTTCCCCTTTGCTACCTTGTGATATTAACATGGCTCTGAGAAATTCACGATCCCCACAATTCATGATCCCTGCTGTGTGGCCAGCACTGGCTGGGTAGGAAGGTGGCCATTCACTTTGACCCTACTGTACAAGTCTAGTTCATTCCGGCTAAGGTTCCAAGTAGCCGCCATGTCCTTATGGTGGAGGAGGCATCTGCTTTGGAAGCCAGTGCCCCTGGGATGGAGAACAGCACTCCGGAGCGTGCAAAGCACCCTAAAGACTGGATTTTACTCATCTTTGCAGCCCCAAGGATAAGGCTGTGCTTGGCACATGGTGTCAGGTCCCTAAATGTTCATCTAACTTTTTTTTCCCTTGGGGGTGGTGAGAAGCTTGTCCTCTGCTTGCAACCATTTGAGAATAGTAAAGGACTGCATGGTGGCTGCCGGCTGCCTCTGCATGCCAGGAGAGAGAGGGGCTCCCTGCTGGAGAGGCCCCGGGGGTAGACCCTGGGTGACGAAGACGAGCATGGCAAGTTCCTGCCGTGAGAAACTGTCCATTGGAGGCTGACGTGGAAGCAAAGGGTCTCACTGTTCTGAATCCAAGTGTCCTGAAGGCAGGCAGAGCAGAGCGTGCAGGACCCGGGGAGGGCCAAGGCCAGCCGCATCTGGAAGGATGAGAAGGAGTTGGTGAGGGGGAGGAGGACTTTGCAGGCTGAGACCGAGTGACCCAGGGATGGCAAGGCGGTCGCGCAAGCTGGGAAACTAAGGCCGTCGAGGCAGAGGGATCACACCTGCAGCGAGGAGACCCTGGCTGGGGCGAGCCTCCTGCACATGGCCTGAGTGACTGGAGGCAGGCAGAGGGCTGCTGCTGGCCAGACGCTTAGTGCCCTGGAGATGAGTCCTGGGCTGGGGGATCCCACTGCCCTGCACACTTGCATAGCGGCCTGGCCCAGTCCAAGATGCAACACACTTTTCTTCTAGACACACCATTTGCAAATACTAGTAGAGCTGTGCTGCCCACCTTCAAAAGGTCTAGCTGCTAACACAAAGGAGGGGGAAAAACACACTGAGATTCACAGCCCGAGCTCATAAAACTTCTCGGGCAAAGCCTGACCAGTCTTGGAACCCTGGGAGGCCCGGAGGTGGTGGCAGCCTGGACACCCCTCAGCCACCCCTGCCCTCCTGCAGCCTCCTCCTCTCCTGCAGGTTACCTGAACGTGCTGGTGAACAGCCAGTGGAAGTCACGCTGGTGCTCCGTCAGGGACAGTCACCTGCACTTTTACCAGGACCGGAACCGCAGCAAGGTGGCCCAGCAGCCCCTCAGCCTGGTGGGCTGTGAGGTGGTCCCAGACCCAAGCCCGGACCACCTCTACAGCTTCCGTATCCTCCACAATGGCGAGGAGCTGGCCAAGCTTGAGGTACTGCTGGCCCGTGGGGTAGGCAGGGGCGGCCTGGGCGGGGAGGTTGAGGCGGTTTGCTGCAAGTCGTGGAGATTCAGTGAAGTTGTGCCTTATTTTTGTTTCCTTTGCCTGAGATTGTTTGCATTTTTTAAAATTTTCCATTCCCTTTCTGACCTCAGGGTGGTTGTGTTAAAGGAGTGGACAATGAGTTACTTCCTGCACTTAGGGCAAGAGGAGTATTTATAACTCCTGAGCTGCTGGAAAAACCTGGGGACTCACAGTGGGTTTGATTTAGTTTGTGTATCACCAGATGGAGCCTAGTACATGAAAATGACGACTGTTAAGGCTTATCTGGGGGGAAGAATCAGGTTTATGATACATTTTTCCCACTCCCCGCCCTCTGTTTGATGTAATGTCACACTTACAAAATAAGAGGTGACATAATGCCTTGCACTGAGCTGGGTGGGCCTCAGCCAGGGTTTTTCACACGCACAGAAGCACAGACTTCCCAGTTCACTCCTGTTCATCTAGTCCTGGATCCTGGGGTCTTCATCCAAATTTTGTTTCAATGCTGCCCTCTGGTGGCTAAAAGATCCACATACCGGTTGCTTCTCAGACGAGTTGACAAGTTTAGACTAATACCTATTCTCTACTCAGTACAATATGTGAACAAGACAGAGATGCTCCCTGTCCTCATGGAACTTACATTCTAGTGTGAGAGTGAGATGTTGTTATTCAATTAATTACCCAGTTACTTAATAACAGTTGCTGAAAAGTGGTGGGTATGAGTGAAAACCATCGTGCTGGGGTCAGGGCGGGACCACATGAGAGACACCGAAGGGTTTCGGGGGGCGCTGGCATGCTCAGATTCGGGTTTTGAGATGCCTCCTCTGTCTGTTGAATGGGGAACAGATGGAGGGTGGGGGACAGGGGCCAAAATGAGACCTGCTAATAAGCCGTAACAGTGGCCCAGGGCAGAGACGGTGCTAAGCGGGAATTCGGTGATGCCTGGGAAAAGCTCTATGGAGAAACCTGCCTGAAAATGAATGGGAAAAGGAAACCAGCTAAATGTCACTCGGCTCGCAGCTGCCTCCTTGGTGCAGAGAACGTAGCAGGAAGGTGCAGAGCTGTGTTGTGTAGTGCCCAAGTGGTAGCTGTTTTTCCTCATGAAAGTAAACATGTAGTATTTATAGAATTCCCAGTTTTTTCTCATTCTAATGGCAAGAAACAACATTGGATTGGCATTCCAATAGAAATACCCACTATATGTATTTGTTTAGAATTCATTGTCCCCTGGAAAAAACCTAAGGACCGGTTTCCCTGGGATTTAGTTCATGATTTGGCAGAGATAGTTGACCTCATATAAGCTGTTTAAGCCATCTTGACTATCGGAACCATAAACAAAAATAAATTTGAATTTCGTTACATCTTAGGGGATCCAGGTAGTCTTGTATGTTTGGATTGGGGTAATACACGGTGACAGTTCAAAAAATAGAGGTATCAACCTAAAATACATAAAATTTTAACAGTTCTCTCCCAGTCCATTAGCCTTCTAGAAATACATGTACGTAAATCACGTCATGCTTGGGACGAAGGTGCTGGGCATCATGAGGTCGCGTCAAGGTATCACTAGTGGCAGAAAATGTTATTTGGGGTCCCCGTGGGATGGGAAATACCGGTGAACATGAAGGAGCATGGCCCCAGGCTCTCTCTGAGGCCTTGCCCAGGGTGAGCATAGGGGCAGGGGTGCTGTGCCCAGCCAGTGGGGGTCTGGGCATGCTCCAGACCTGCTCATGTCCCTCTCTGCCTCCTCCTAGGCCAAGTCTTCCGAGGAAATGGGCCACTGGCTAGGCCTCCTGCTCTCCGAGTCGGGCTCCAAGACAGACCCAGAAGAATTCACCTATGACTATGTGGATGCAGATCGGGTTTCCTGTATCGTGAGTGCAGCCAAAACCTCTCTGCTGTGAGTCTCAGGGCCTCTGTCTTCTCCCTTCCCTGTCTTAGTTGTGCTTCTCCACTCCAGGCCCAGACTGGCCTCTATGGCCGTTCGAGCAGGGTGGCTGCTGAGAAGTCAGGGTCGGCCAGCCCTGTCCTCCCGGCAGCAGGAAGACCAGGGCCAGGGAGCTGCCCCGAGGGAGGCCAGCCTGGGAACGGAGCCAGGCCTCCGGCCACGGGAGCTGCAGCATCCTCGGCTTGGATTAGATGCTCCCCAGATCCTCGTGGCTACGTCGGCACGTTTCCCGACCCCCCACCCCTTTAATGCTGATTCAGTACCTTCCTGCGATTCCTCTCTGGGTCCCCAGCACACCCTGGAAAGAGCAGGTGCTCTCTCCGCTTTCCGGATGAGCACACTGGGGCGCACTCAGGGAGAAGCGCTGGGTTGTGTGGCTGAGGAGCCCTGTTGGAAGCCGGCCAAGCCCATGAAACAGAATCTCTTATGTACAAAATGGGGAAAGTCTCAGGTCTGCACTGCCCCAAGTGTATTATGAAGATGAAACGAGAGAGGATTTTGTTGTCGGAATTCTAAAAGGGAATCAGGTGACGAGAGGATGCCGAGGAGGGGGCGGGGCAAGGGAAATGTGTTTTTCTGGCAATTTGGAGCCGAGGGTTCTAATAGGAAGGCCCTAGGAGGAGAAGGGGGAGCTTAATGAGTTTGTGCTAAAATGAGGCTGGAGCTGGACACCGGGTCTCCCACTGCACCTCTTGTCATCATGAATCCTTGGAGACTGGGTGGCTTTGACACCCAGCCCCGAATCTCCTGTGTCTTCCAGACTGATGCAGAGAAAGTTCTCAGAGCCGAACACTTACATTGACGGCCTGCCCAGCCAGGGGTGCCAGGAGCTGCTGTATGACGACGTGGAGATGTCAGAGCTGACGGCCACAGTAAGGACGCCAGTGGGGCAGTGGCCTGGGGCTGTCCAGTCCTCCTCCTGCCAAACCTCAGTGCCAGCTTAGATTGTCCCTAAGACGAGTGCATTCCAAGTCACCTGCAGGGCCACCGGTGCAGGCAGGTTATCTTTTGTACTGGGACGTGCTGTTGGGATTGGCAACGAGGACACCATTAGCCTTTGAGGACCAAACTGATAGTGGAGCTGGAATCCTCCTGCTGGAAGTGGGTTCCATTTATGAGACATGGGACTCGGTGCGGTGCTAAGGGCTGCTGTGGATTAGCTCCCTTCATCCTAACCACCTTACAGGGAGGTACGACTACCCTCTTACAGAGGAGGAAATAAGGTTCAGGAAAGTTAGTCCTCTGTCCTGGGTCTCCCACCTCTTGAAAGGCAAATCCCAGACTCGAACCCTGACCTAACCCCTGCTCAATAGGAGGTGTCCCCAGGGGAAGGTCCCTGCCCACTGCAGCACAGGGAGGTGACAGGAGCTCTGCGGCAAGGCAGGTGGCGCCTCTACAGCCCAGGGAGCAGAGGCGATGGTGAAAGCCACCTGACTCTCCTCTGCAGGTGGACCCCGAGGAAGCCACGCCTCCCACAGATGCTCTAGCTGAGTCCGACCCTGACCGTGTGTATCTGGACCTCACACCCGTCAAGTCTTTCCTGCACAGCCCAGGCAGCACCCAGGTCCAGGCGCGCTCCCCCACACCACCCCACCTGGACCCTCCAGCCGAGGCCCTCCCTGCAGACGTGGGCCTGGCCCCAGACGAGCCCCTCATCAAGTCTGCAGAGACCCCGGAGTTTCAGGTACAGGCCAGCCGCCCGCAGGTGAGCCAGCCCCACCTGCCCAGGCCCCGTGGCCAGCTGAGTCATGTTTGCTTTGTCCCATAGCCAGTGCAGCAGGAGAGTCTGGAGCCTTCCCCGAGAATTGCAACAGTCAAAATCCAGACTGAACAACAGAAAATCTCCTTCCCACCAAGCTGTCCTGACGTCGTGGCTGTAACCCCAGCGGGGGCCAGCACACCTGTGAAGGACAGGTTGCGGGTGACCTCTGCAGGTACCTGTGCTAAATAAGAGTCTGATGTTTTGGAAATGGCTCAGAGAAGTTAGCCCAATCCGTTCCCTTTCCGATGAAGAAACAGAGGTTCAGAGAGGTGAGGGGACTGGGCCCAAGGTCAATCAGTGATGAAGGCGTGGGCCGAGTTTCCTTTCTGTCCTGGTGTCCAGCTCTGGTCTGTCAGAGCCCCAGGTTCCGTCTGCGCCTGCGCAGTGGGATGGAGACAGCCCTCACGTCCCCGCCTGGCTAATAACCTGGGGGTTCCCGTCTCTGGGTTTGCAGAGATCAAACTTGGCAAGAATAGGACGGAAGCCGAGGTGAAGCGGTACACAGAGGAGAAGGAGAGGCTGGAGAAGCAGAAGGAGGAGATCCGGGCTCACCTGGCTCAGCTTCGGAAGGAGAAGCGGGAGCTGAAAGAGACCCTGTTAAAATGCACGGGTAGGGGCCTCCCAGGGCGGGTGGGGTGCGCCTTCAGCCCAGGGGACGTGTGGGCGGGGGCTGGCTGGCAGAAGAGTCGGGATCCATGCACCTGACTTGCAGCCCTGCCAATCTTTGGGAACAGGTGGATGCTCCCGCTTAAAGTCCTCTCCCCATTGTGTCCTCAAAGGTCACTGTCCTGTGCAGAGAGACCCTCTGACCTGTTGTCAATAGGACCAGGACTTAGTTTAAAAGCTGGTTAGAGGAGGGCATCTCTAAAAATTGTTTCCACCTTAAATATTTTATTTGCACTTAAATGTATGTCCCTTGGTTCATCTGTTGTAGCGCCAACACCTTTTCCCATGTCATCTTTCCTGCATGAACCACACCTGTCCTGCATCATCTTCAGTTTCCAGCCTTCATTTCTTTAATGTGAACAAAAGCTTCAGACACTTGCAAGAAAAAATCTGAGTCCCTCTAGATTCTTTTCCAGCCATTTCCTAGCAACTTGTCTTTAACAAGACCTTTCCTGGCCTTGGCTGCAGCCAGCTTAATTCTCATTCCAGACAAGGGCGTCCTGGCCAGCATGGAGCAGAAGCTGAAGGAAATTGACGAGGAGTGTAAGATCGAGGAGGGCAGACGGGTGGACCTCGAGCTCAACATCATGGAGGTGAAGGGCAACCTGAAGAAGGCCGAGGCTGGGCCCGTGACGCTGGGCACCGCCGTGGACACCACCCACCTGGAGAACGTGAGCCCCCGAGTGAGTGCCGCATGCCCCGGTCCCCCCGAGCTGCTGGTGGGGCCTGCTGGACCAAGGTCGGGGGGAGTTGGGTCATGTCTCCCTACCCCTGGCTCAGGCCTTGCTCTCGTCACCACAGCCCAAAGCTGCTGCCCCCACCCCAGACTGTACCCCGGTCAACTCTGCTACAGCACTCAAGAACAGGCCTCTCTCCGTCATGGTCACAGGCAAAGGCACCGTCCTCCAGAAAGCCAAGGTAAGCAGTCACTCCAGGCCTCCTTCAGGGCCACCACTGAACAGCAGAACTGTCACCACGTTGGGGCCCCTCCTCCGAACCAAGTGGCGTTTTCCTGCTTTGGGCGCCACTAAAAAAAAAGGCCTCGCCTCACTGTACCTTTGCTCGGTCTTTGGCTCTTGGTTCACGTGTTCTTACTAAGGAACAGTAAGAACAAGTGCCTGAGGACACCTGAACTACCCACCACTTAATTCCAGGGGCACAACTACAGTTCACAGCCAAATAGACAGTTTTCAAATCAAAAAGTCAATGATTCTAAAGGACTCCTGCCATAAAAACTTAGACACATTCCGAAAAGTGGCGTGATTTGCCTGAAGCTGCCCAGCCAGCTGGGGGTGGAAGGTGTAAATGAGGCATGGATGCCATTAGAGGGCTCTCCCCTGTGGGCTAGACAAAAAGGGTTATTAATCCTTTGATTGTTTGTACAGTAAAGAACACTGCGTAGAGCTGCCTTGTTTTTGGCAAACTCTGCTCCTTAATTTATATCCTGCCTACCTGCTGGAAACATTTCAAGGTATCTGCACCACTAACTATTAAATCCACGGGCGTCACTGCTCCCTCCCTGCCATGCCCGACATCACAAATTAGAACACTCTACTTTGCCACAGCCTCAAAAATCTCTCAATAGGTCCCCCAAACAGTGACCAAACACACAGGGGTTGAAACATAACTGCTCTCTGTACTCCTGTTTCTGTGCACATGGAGAATAACTTTCTTCCTTTTTCGCGGGGGGTGCTGGTATTTGGCGCCCTAGGAATGGGAGAAGAAAGGAACAAGTTAGGAAACAGGCTTCACCTGAAGACTCTCCTGTCAACATGGACCTTGGTGACCGTCCTGCTTCATTCGTCAGCAACTCTGGGAAAGGGTGAGTCAGTCTGGAAGAAAGAGCGAGGACTGGGGTACTCAGAAAGCAGAGCTTCGGCTCAGTGGAGGCTCTGTCCCTTTCAGAGCCAAAGAAAGTACAACAAAGTAGTGATTTTAAATAGCACTGATACCACCTGTGCAAAACTATCCACGGCGTGTGCTTTTTGAGAAATGGTAACAGGAGAAAATATTTGGGACCAAGCTGAGGCACTGTCCCCAAGAAATTAAGGACTTTTTAAAGGGACGCTGTATTATATATTTTTTAAATGTTTAAAATCCTGTAATTTAGACCAGCAAAAGTGTCTTTTGAGATTTAACTGACTTTACATTACTGTAGGAAAAAAAAAAAAAAAAAGATTACCTTGTGTTTACAGATTCAGTCCTGTGGCCACACCATTTTTAAGGGAAGAGTTATTTAATGCTCTCTTTGTCTGTTTGTGAAGTCGTGTTTAATGTTCAGGCCCCTTCCAACAAAAAAAGTAGCGAACTTTGTTTTGCGCGGGCTCCGTCTCAAAATTGGCAGTACTGTCCTTCTAAGGGCATTGTGCTCTAACACAGGTTTTAACATTTTATCTATCATCTCTGCCTCGTTTCTGGGGTTTCTGAATCGGTTCCCTAACACTGCTTCCTGAGAACTAAAGGTCTTTTGATTTCTTATTGTCTTTCTAATCCCAGGGCATTTATTTCCTTTGTCATAAACACTTGGTAAAAAGGGACACCAAGTGGTGTTAGATTTTTTAAAAAATAAAATGTTAATTGTCTTTTGGGTTTTGCTTATATTTCATGGAATGACTTGGGCAGGGGGCCTGGCGGACCTGACCTCAATGGGGGAAACGTCTCGGTTATTTACACACTGAACTTCAATATAAGTGCAGTAAAAACTGGTAGAGCTAGGAGGTGAGATCTTAGGAGATGTTAAGCCTCCTCGTATCAACAGTGTATCACATTGTCACACAGGAAACACCTGCACAAACTGGTCACATAAGTTACTGAAAATCCTAGACGTTAAATATACGTCTAAATAATTCTTGGAAGAAAAAAACATATCAAATACTTAGAAGGTGGCCTAAGTACTAAAGTTCCTAGCATAAATATGCTTATTTTAAAAGTGACAAAATTTGCCAGTATTTTTAAGATTTTTTGCATGCATGTCCAATAATGAGATTTGGTTTTTCCTTTGCAATATGGGTTGGATTTTTGGTATCAGAGCCAGGCTGGCTTTATAAAATTGAAAATATGTATTCCTCAAATGATCCTCACAGCATTTTCTTGTAATTTAAAAACTTTTGTCAATATCAGTACTTAAGGCTTCCTTTTCAGTTCTGCCTTCGATATGGCCCGAGGTTGTCCTAGTCTTTTCAATGAGCCAGATTTGGGCTTGTCATTTTTAAAATAAGCACATTTATGCAATGCTTGAAGAATCATGGGTCATGAGCAGATCGTTTATCCAAGGAATCAAGGTGGTTCAATAATTGAAAATATACTAATAAATAATTTATCACATAAACAGATTAAATGTGAAGAAACAAAGTAGAAAAACACCAAAAATCTCAACACTCTAGGAACATAAGCATCCCTACTCTTATAAAGCAATCCACAGAAAGTAACATATGATGAGACGATTCTTTCAAGTTCAGAAACAGATACAGGCTGTTGCCACTACTTTTTTAAACATCCTAATGAAAAATGAGAAAAATTAGTGTAAAACCTCAGAAGAGAAAACTGTCATTTGCAAATATCTTCTAGGAAAACAAGAGAATCAACTGCTTCTACTAGGACACTGAAAGTATTGAATTATTCAGTGGCACCTTTCACTAGAAAAGGTAAAAAAAAAAAATTCAAAGGCTGAGACCTAAAACTAGAAACAATAGAGCCATTAATAGGTAACCCACAGTTTTGTAGGGTTTAAGTCCAGACAATTCAAATGAGATGTCCAAATCTCAGCGCTGAACCAAACAGCCTACACCATAAAACGATTAAACTGCTGTGAATTTAAATACAATGGATTCACATAAGTTCTCCGGCATCACCTATTGGCACCTGCCAGGTGGGCACTGGCCCTGCTCTGATGTTGCCTTCTGCTAAGGCCAGCATAGTAACAGGATTGAAAATACCCCCCGAACACAAGTGACCGTCATGACACAGTCGTCTTGAGCCACCAGGCTTTTAACATTTAATACCATCATGGTGAGAAGTCCTTCAAGTGCTTTACTAGCACCAGAAATCTTGGAGTCCTAAAAGCTAAGTGGTGGTGAAGTCACGGCAGCCTCGAATGTTCACACGTAACACATTGCATTAATTATATTAAAGAGGAAAGCTATGATACAGCATCCGGATTTAGGCTGGAGCTCTACCGCGGTTTCTACTGAAAACTCAACTCAGAACAACACAACCAACGGGAAGAATTGGTGGCTAAATACTGTGGGGGTGAGGAAGTGCCTGGTTTGCCAGAAAATACTGAAAATATTCCAATTAAAGCCTCCGACATATCGGTATAAATACTCCTGTTAAACAACCAACATCATGTCTTAAAATATTTTTTAAAACTACACATAAAAAGCAAAACAAGAACCTAGACGACATAAGATGTTTAATAAAGTGAAACCCATCTAAGTGTCTTTATTCCATATCGGTTGAGTTTAAAAGTTCTACTCTTCTTTGCCCCACTCAAAGGAAAGAAACGCACTCAAACACCCCACAAGTAACCTCTCCCTCAGTAAACTCTAAAAGGAAGCCCATCCAAGAGAACATGGCCCAGTCCCCAGGCCAACCGCACAGGGCCCCTCTCCGAGTCGATCAGTCACATTCCAGTCTGGGCCCCTTCCAAGTCTCTCCCCACACAGATCCAGTCACCAGAAGAGGTCACAAATGCCACGCAAGCCCCTCTTCAAACTGAAAACAAATGCACCTAGGACATCTTTGGGGAAAGATGTGTGAAAAGGTCCACACTTTTTCCATCTTGAAATGCCGTCACTTGGACGGTCCAAAGGACACGCTGGCCGCTACCTTCATTTGAGTGTATTCCTGTCCCGACTGTATTAGCATTTGTTGTGGGCAAATTCGGCTTCTGACAGGCCATCGAGAGTCTCTAGGGTCCTTTGTTTCTCTTCAGGGAAAAGGTGGCGGACAAGTTCAGCAAGGTAAGTAAATATTTACTTACAGGTCATAAATGTTCGACATCATCATTAACGGGCAAAATCAGCTGCTACCATGTTGCTAAGCAGCACTGTCTACAGTTGGGACCTCTCGTCTCCCCGGGTGAGGAAAGTGGGTGGGAGGGTCCTAGGCAGAGCGGGAGGCAGACACTCAGGATCCCAAGGCCAACAGGACACCGTGCTGAGCGAGGTGGCCTTTCAGCGTCCGGGGTCCCCCGGCCTTCTCTGTGGTGGCTGGAGAGGTTCCGGCTGTTGCTCTCCTGCAGGCCGCCAGCGGGAGCCACGTGCCCTGGGAGCATCTCCCCTCAGGGCCCCTGGGAAAGAAGTGACCTTTAAGGACGTGAGGAGTGTCTGAGGCCCGCGACCCAACCGGCAGCCTCGTGGGCCCCTGCATGTCTTGCTCTGCTCCACCACCCAAGCAGAAGATGCCCCATCTGACGGCCCTCACACCCGCACCCCAGCTTTCGGGAGCAGCCTTTGCCGGTGGCCGCAGGCCGTTCACACTTTAAATTCATGAGCAGGAGCCCCAGGATGGCCCACACTACTGCTGCCCGGCAATCATTCCGTGTCCTCAGGCTAGTCCCCGTCTCTCCTAGAGAGCTACTCCTTCCCTTCTCCCTCAAACCTCTAGCACCCGCCCACAACCTCCCCCTCAGCAAATAGAAACACTCAAAGAAGTCCCACCAGCTTCCACATCTGCCTGCCGACTTGCGTCTGTGCCCACACCCTCTGGCTTCCTGTGACAGTGGGTCCGCCGGCTCCCCAGGAGGCCTTCTTCCCGACTGCCACTTTTTCTCAGGTGTGCTGAGCGCCATCCAATCCACTGCACGTTGTACTTATCTACTGCCCTCTGCACGCGTACAGAATTACTCCCCGAGGGCAGAGATTTTTACTAGCTGGTTTACCGCTATAGTCCCCATGCCTGAATGACGCCCGGGAGGTAGGCCCCCCGCTGTTTCGTGCGTGAATCAGCAAATGATGGCACAATTCCTTCCATCGAGCGGACACCCCGGGACCTGCCTCCGGCTGAGTCCCTGGGGCCCGGCCGGTGTCAGAGGACCACCGCAGCTCACACGCAGAGCCAGCCCCACTTACGGGTCTCGCAGTGCGGGCCCTCCCAGCCTTGCTGGCACGCGCAGCGGTAGCTCCCGTTCCGCAGGACACAGGAGCCCTCGTTCATGCACGGGCTGGGTTTGCAGAGGTTGACCGGCCGCTTGGCTTCTGCAAGGAGGAGTATGCCTGGTAGGCCCAGCCTGGGTCAGCCCCAAAGACCGCCCCCTAAGGAAGCCCAGTACAGATGTGAGGCCACGAGCGTGGGGTCTTGCTCATCATAGCGCTTCATGGGGCCTGTAAGCCACAGGTTAGCACATGGTCGGTGCTCCATACTGATTGGCCAGGTCAAAGACCAAGGGCACACAGCTTTCCTACAGACAGACAAACTCTCACGTGCTGTGCTCTTAGCGGTGCTTACTACTATTATCATGGCCACATCCTTTAAAAAGGCAGAAAGGATGTCACTGGCAAAAGGAAGCCTTGGAGTCAGGCTGGCCTGGCTGTGTTTGCTTCTCGCTCTGTCATTCACTACCAAGGTCACTGTCATCCTGGTGTCCTTAGACCCTTGGGGGATCTGTGGGTGTCCTAATGATGTCTTCTGTTTAAATGAGCCACATACATTCTCAGGTTTGGGGAAGGGTATCTGTGTTAAATATTCTGTGCCCTGAATGTCAATTGGGTTTGGCTGTGCCTGCCACGGGGTTCCCGTGACATGGGATTTAGCACAGAAAAAGCGTAAAAAGCGCTCAGTAGCCAGGAGGAGCTGTGACCTTGGTGAAGATGTGTGTGCTGACCTTGGAGGCAGCCCTGAAGGCCGCGGATGCCCCACTCACCTCCACACAGCCACTCCATGAGTGCGTCCCGGTGGAACCTCAGGTCTGCGTAGGCTGCCACGTGGATCAGAGTGTCCCGGGGACCTGCCAACCTCCGCAGTGCCTCCCCCAAGACCGGCCCCACGCCCACGATCAGGACAGAGATGCCATCGTCCCTCAGCTTCTGGATAGGGACAACTGCATCCTCCGCCCCCCTCCCACCTGTGAGCACCACCACAGCCTTGGGGACACCAGGCCGGGCGCCCCTCTGGACAGTCATCACCTTGTCATAGATGTGCAGCAAGGCTGTGCCTGCTGACCCCACCCCGCCCAGGTAGGGGGCCTGGCTCATGGCCCGAAGCACTGCAGCGCGGGTGACGTGGGTGTCCAGCCTGAAGGCCGTCTGGACCTGGCTGCCATATACCACCAGGCCGATCTGGGTCACATCGGGATTCACATCAAACTGGAGCGTGCAGCTCCTCACGAAGCCCTGCATCTGGACGAAGTTCTCGGGCCCCACGGAGGCTGAGGCATCCAACACGAAGACCAGGTCCAGCGACGGTGCCTGGCAGCCTGTGGAAACAGGCGGAGTGGGCCTCAGGACAGGCTGTGCCAGGCGGAGCCCCTCCCCTGGGCCAGGCCAGCAGAGTGGGGGCAGCCAGTCTTCTCTCTGTCCACTGCAGTAGCCACCTTCCGCCCTCTCCTCGAACATTAGCGGGACATGAATGTCCAGCTAGACCACTCTCCCAGCCTCTGTGGCTGCCAGGTGTGGCCATGTGTCTAAGTGGACTGCGTAATGTGTTTGGAAGTAACTGTACAAGTTCCAAGTTAAGGAAGCTGCTTGCCTTCCGCCCCGCCCCACTCCCCCACCCCTTCCTGCTGGCTGAGAAACGGTGACTTTAGACCCAGAGGTGGAACCACAAGGCAGCCAAGCCGCCCTGCCGGCCCAGGCCACTGAACTCTGAACTGTTATATGAGAGAAATGAACATCTGTCATATGTAAGCCATTGAGTGCCGGGGACCCTTTGTGACAATGACTTCATCTGAACCCTCATCTATCCTATTATTTAGCACCTTCTATGTGCCATGCACTGTATACAAAGCACTCGTTCTACCAAATGGACAAAACAGGTCGATGCTTGCCCTCGATGGGCTGACAGTCGACGGGGAGGCAGGCATCGAACCCACAGAGAATTTCAAATTCTACGAGCAGCCGTGAGGGGAAAAGCGGGACACTATGAGAGGGACCAGCCAAAACAGCATAAGTGGATTGGGAGAAGCGCTGTGTGAGGAGTAAGTGTGAGCTGGAGGGGTGGTGGGTCTTCTAAGGTGCACCCCCTCCCCACCCCACACAGGGGCTGCAGAGAGGCCCACAGAGACCAGACCACAGGGAGCTCTCGTTGACGCCAGCGGAATGGGTTTGGGTTGTATTCCAAGGGCAGAGGGGAGCCGCTGGCAAGGTTTGAGTACAGAGTAAAAGGATTTGATTGGCTTTTAAAAATCACTCCAGCACAAGGGAAGTCTGAGAAACTGCCGCAGCCAAGAAGAGCCTAGAGAGACACAATGACTAAAAGTAACGTGGTATCCTGGACGGAAGCCTCAGAACACTAAAAGAACATGAGGCCCAAACTAAGGAAATCTGAATGGACTTGAATAAATCATAGTGTACCAACATTAGTTCGTTAACTGCGACAAACGCACCTTGTCAGCATTTACAAGAGGGACATGGGGTGTGGCATATATAAAAACTCTACTATTGTCACGTTTTTCCGTAAATCTAAAGCTATTCTTTAAAAATCCCTCTGGCTGCCGTGGGGAGACTAGACTGGAGCGGGGCATGGGGGTGGGCAGCCGATCCCTGTCTTCCTTGCTTGCGGGAAGGAAGGTCTGACCCCTGATGAGTGTGACATCTGGGGCTGAGGAGCTGAATGCCATATGCAGCATCTCACCTCTCTAGAGGAGAAATCGGGGGGCCCCTCCTGCAGGACGTGTTTCTGCTACCTCTCCGGACGTGGGCCAAGGCCCTGCCCACCGGCCGGACTGCACCTCCCAGGGGCACTGTTCTCCAGAGTGCCTGCCCAGGGCGTGTCACGAAGTCTACCTCAGGGATTGTGAAACACAACAGAAAATGCCAGAACTCATCGCAGGTGGAAAAGATGAGGATTCCACGAAACATGTCTCAGCTGTGTGCGTGCGCTGGGAATGCACTTTTCTGCGGGCTGCCCTCAAACTGGAACGCTGCTCATCTAGAGTGTGCGTAGTGGGTTCTGAGCTCGTTAATGATAAATAGTTAAGTAGCAACGTGCACAATATTCTGAGTGCACACTCTGTGCTTACTCTGTACTCTGTACATTGCTCGTCTTAATCCTCACAAAAGCCTTGGAGGAAGTGCTATTACTGGTCCCATGTTATTGGCCAGTAAACTGAGAAGTTACTGGTCATGAGGCTAAGACATAAGAGTAGGGCTGTGCTTCCAGCCCCTAGCACAGGCCTTGGTTAAGTGGTAACGGAAGGAGGAAGGGCTCACCCCTGACCAGCGACCCTGGGTCAGGCCGAGGTTGGTCCGGAGCTGGCTCGGGCCCCAGCAGCTTACCTGGCCGTGGCCGGCTGCACAGCTTCCCCTGCAGCTCTGGGACTTGGCTGACCAGGTCCTGTGGGTCGGCGTAGACCATGACGTGCTCCGGGCTGCCCGTGATCTCCTCCAGCTCCGCCCGCACGGCCTCGCTGCCCACGCCCAGCAGCAGCAGCCCTCGGGCCCTGGCATGATGCGCTGGGCCGGCCACCTCGTCCTGGGTGCGTGACTCAGTGAGCAGAACCACCACTCTGCGTGGACGGTCCTGGCCTGTCCAGGCGGCGCTCCCGAAGCCGCGCTCTGCCACCTGCCGCAGGGCACTGCCCGTGAGGGTGGCGCCTCCGCTGAAGGGGATGGCCTCGAGGCTCCGGACCAGGTCTGGCACGTCCTGGTACTCACCCACGGGCACCGCCAACTCCAGCTCCCTGCTGTACCAGGCCACACCCACACGGGCCCAAGAGTCCTCGTCCAGCGAGGCCTGGACAAAGCTCCTCACGAAGGCCTTGGCCCGCAGGAAGCCCTCCGGCGTCATGCCCGCTGAGCTGGCCAGCAGGAAGAGGACGTCGGCTCTGCATTCCAGGCTCAGCGTCGGGGCTGCCAGAATCACAGCGACAGCCGTCACACCACCTGGAGCTTGCAGGTCACCATCTTACCCAAGACACCCAACCACCACACGGGGCAGGAGAAATCTCCCTCCCAAGAGGGAGACGGAGTGGAGAAACTGAGGCTCCACGGGCTTTGTGACCAGTGCATGTCACCGCAGATTCAGACAGGGCTAGTCACAGAGCTCTCCGTCCCGGCTCCTGCTAAGGGTCTCCACCCAACCGCTATTGAAAAATTAAAATATATCAATTTGTAACTTCCTCCCATTATGGTCAGTGCTGCTTGTGTCCTATTTGAGAAATTTATGAAGATGTGCTTCTATGTTTTCTTCCAGAAGGTTCATGGCTTTGCTTTTTACATGTAGATCTATGATTCATCTGGCATTGGATTTTGTGTAGGTAGGGGATCAGCTTGTGAGGTAGGGGATCAAGATTGATTTCTTCAATATAAATCTCCAATTGACCCAATACCCCATTAAAAAAAAAAGTTAACAAGCCCCTACTACATGTCAAGCAATGTGCTAAGCACCTTACATTCAAAATCTGATTTCAACCTTAAGAGATAAAGCCTATTATAATCTTCATTTCATATATTTAAAACCAAAAGGGGTTGAGGCACCTCTTCCTAGAGGAGGAGAGAAGAGATTCTATATAGAACCAAGATCCCGCAGCCGGGCTCGGCATGCTCCAAGATCAAGCAGTGACCATTCTGAAGCTCATTAGCCAGAAACGGCTGCCCCACCCAGAGCTCCAGCACCTGAGTTGTTCATTCAAGGCGCACTCAGAGGCCGTATCGCCTGAGACATCAGAGCAGTGGTGTACTTGGAAGGTAGGTGGCTCTAAAACTCAAGGGCCCGTTTCTGTCTAGCAGCTAGAAGGATGGGAGGTGTGAAGGGGGCGTCTGCCTTGGAAGTCCCATGCATACGTACCGCAGTCAGCCTGCCCTCTGAAGGCTGGCAGGCAGAGGCAGTGGTAGCTGTCTGGTCCTTCTGGAACACATGTGCCTCCATTCTGGCAGGGCTGTGAGTCACAGGGGCCTGTCAGAGAGATGCCCATTAACAACTTAGCACGTCAGCCCAGAGGCATGAGCCCGACAGGCCGCCCTGCCCCACCACGGCCCGGCTTCCTCCTTCTCTGGGGACCACTAGGAAACTAACTGCAACACCTGTAGCAAGCGAGGTATGTATGTAAAGGGGCTGGGTGTGGTAAAGGACTCTCCATGGTGGGCAGTAAGGCCCTCCACGGATTAGACTCACGCAGGGATGTGCCAGGACCTGGACTGCGATGGACTGAATTGTGCCCAACCCCCACCCTCCCAATTTATATGAAGAAGTCCTAACCCTCAGTGCCTTAGAATGTGGCTGTGTTTGGAAATCGGACTTTTAAAGAGGAGATCAAGGCTAAATGAGGTCAAAGAGTGGGTCCTGTTCCAATATGACTGGTGTCCTTATGAGAAGAGGCAGAAAGACACCAGGGATGTGCACAGAGCAAAGGCCGCATGAGGACACAGTGAGATACCCACCTGCAAGCCAAGGACAGAGGCCTTAGAAGACCCCAAACTTGCTGACCCCTTGATCTTGGACTTCTAGGATCCAGGACTGAGAAAATAAATTTCTGTTGTTTAAGCCACGGAGTCTGTGGTATTTTGTTATGGCCGCCCTACAATACTGACACGACACACCCTAATAACCTACAGCCGCTAGGAAGGCCTGGAGGAGCGCCGGGGGCTGTAATGATGAACTGGTGTTGGACCTGAGCTTGATAAAGATGAAGAAATCAGTAACATCCAGGCAACAGCAGGGGTGTCTTAAGACTCAGGGAACGCCTTGGTGTGGATGGTGCCATTTAACTTCTACACAGGGTTGTTCCCGACAGCCTCTGTGGGCTGGCACAGCAGGACAGCGAGCCTTGGATCCTGGAGTCAGAGAATGTGGCCTCGTCCACGTACTCAGGCACCCTCATTAGCCCCTAGGAGCTACGGTATCCTCATCCCCAAAGGGGGTGGTGATAACTCATTCCACAGTGTTATTGTGCGGATTACATGAAATAATCCAAGGAAAGTCTTAGAACGTAGCCTGACAAAAATAAACACTCCATAACAGGTAAGACAGTAGATGCTTTTGCACGCGAAGTGCGAATTACGAGTAACGCCTCTTTCAAAGGTGATGTTTCACCCAGGAAACCAGAGCCCACGTCAAAATCGGGCCCATTCCGAAGTATCTGATCTATGTGTGATACGCTGTGGTCGACATCCGAGCTCCTTTTCAAGTTCTTTATCAACTACTGTAAAATGCAAATAGGACATGACCCCCTGCCCGGGTTACAGAGAGCAGCCGGCATCTTTTCATGAGTTCATGTATCATGTATTCAAAGGGCTTGATAAGCAGCTGTGTGGTTACTAGTGAAATTAGTGATTAATGTCCCCAATAAGCAGTATTTTTGCTTAAAAATATCGACACATCATTATAATTAAACTGTATACTTTTCAAAGGTAGAAATTACTAACTCCAGGCACCTAGGCCTGTTCTGTCAGCTGCAGCATCAGAGAAACAACTGAACAGTCATTAACATCATCAACGGTGGCCTTTAATTGAGCAGCTACTATGTGCCAGGTACCGTGCTAAGCACCACACATGCATGATCCCATTTCATTGACACGACCCGATGAGATGGGTCCTGCAAACCACCACCACTTCAGACAAAGAAGCTGAAAGTCAAAGATTAGACATCATGTGCTGAAGGTCAGATAGTTAGAAACAGGCAGTTCTGGAATCCAAGTCATTCTGGTTCCAAAACTGTAAGTCTTCGAGCTTTAATTTGTGAGCAGAAACAACCCCGCTTTCATTTCTCCTGTGCTTCAGTGCTGGAACTTTAAAACAGGATGCCAAGGGGACCATCACATCCTGGTTAGGAAGTGCCACCTGACTGCACATAAAGCCACTCGTTCTGCTTCTGAGATGTGGGCTCCTCACCTCATTAGGAGTAGCAAATCCACACGAGGTCTGATGCCGACACACTCGACTGCAACATCTATGCTCCTGGGCCAGTGGGATGCACTAGGCCCCAGGGTGAGGCGCATGAGGGCTCACTAGACAACCAGGCTGCATGATGCCTAATCGTATTGATAAGTCCTACTGTTTGCTTGGGACTTTGTAGCTGATAAAGCACTTTCGTGGCTAGTATTTACTGATCCCGTGTTGATAACCCCATGTCATATAGATCAGGGAAATGGAGATTCCAGACCTGGGGCAAACATTTACCCCATTTTACAGAGGTTGAAAGTGAGGCTCAGCTATCTTGCCCTGGGTTCACCATGGATGTGAGGCTTTCCGTCGGCGAAGCTGGCTTAGTGCACACCTCCTCTGCCTCTCGTCAGTGCGAGGGGCATTGGTTAAGGAAGGTCATTCCAAAGCCTTCACTCTATTCTTAGTGAAAAAATACCACTGAGCAAGTGAGGGGTGAGCACAGCATGAACGTGCTGTCTCTGAGATGCCCATCCTTCTGCCCTGCCGCTGGATCCATCCCGCCATCTGCCCCAGATGTACAAACGCCCTTTAGAAGCCAGCTTAGTCCCGGGGCCCAGAAAGAGAAGGAGAACCCAAGAGGTGACTGTACCTGGGCAGATGGTCCTGTAGCAGGTGGCGGGGTGGGTCATGAACACTCTCTTCCAGCTACAATCCAAAGAAACGAGTGTTAGAGATCAAGGGTTCAACAGGAAGGCAGAAACCCAAAAGATGATTTAAGACACTAAAAGCTGGTATGAAATTCCAATGGAGAAGTAGGTCAGAAAAGACTTCCTTGCTTTCTTTCCTGATTCCTCCCCAGCTTTTATCAGCACGTAGAGGAGGGAAATGTTTCAAACTACCTAGAGACAGTTAAGAAAAAAATAATAATAATAATGTAGGTTGGCTATCATATCAGAAGTTTGATCTATGTTCAAAACTCTTAACTATGGGAAGAACTTTCTATTGCAAGTTACTTCCTGGGGCCAGCATAATACAGAGGGCAAGGGGGCAGGAAATGCTGGGAATGAGGCGACTGGATTCTGGCTGTGTGACCCCAGGCTGGTTACTTTCCTCCTCTGGTTTTCCCTTCTCTCTTCCATACAGTAATTCTACCTGTCGTTTTCATCTGTGTTCCCTGGAGCCTCAGTGAGAAGGAAGGAGACTGGCCAGGGTGCCAGGCCTCCCTCAGTGCCAGAGCCCTGGCCCTTCACCCTAAATGTTTTTTTCTGGTCTGCATAAGTGTCTACATGAGGCTACACAGCTCAAGAGTATTTATTTTCAAACCACTAGACTCGATGACCTCTAAGGTCCATTTGAGTGCTAACTTTTATGTGATAACACAAGGGCCACCGTTCCTGTGGTGGCTTCCATGGTCCAGGTGTCCCCGCCGTTACTTTGAATCCACAGCCACCTGAAGAGACAGTTCTCTCCATCTGGAAGATGGAGCTATGGGCTCGGAGAGCTGAATTAGGTCACCCAAGGTCGGGCGGTTGCTAGAACACAGCAGAGCTGGGACCGACTCCACCATCTGACTCCACAACCCCTGCACTCAGCCCTCTGGGCCTCGCCCCTGGCCTGAGGCTCTGGGGTGACGAGCCCGCTGCAGCAGCAGCAGATCCTCACCTGTGGGCAGAAAGCCCTCCTCTTGGTTGGCAGCAGCTGCAGGGCTGGCCTCGCCTAAAGGGATTCCCCAATTTGGGCCGAAGCAATACAGGTCTCTAACATCTTCCAAAGAGGCCTCCTGCCACCAGACCCCCCACCCCAGGCTGCACACCGCAGGGCTGGCTAATGGGCTCGCCTCTAGGGCAGAGCCTATCCTGGAGTAAGATATCCACTTGGGTTAGAAGCCAAGTCAATTACAAGCTCACGGAGTTGCCAAAAATCAAAAGTTGGTCAAGCTGCCAGCTCGTTAGAGAGAAGTCCTCTCCCGCTCTCTGTCAACGCCTAGTGCTCCATAAAACCACAAGTTCTAGCTCAGAAAGCTCTGCGGGCCCTGCCCTGTCCGCCCAGGCCTGCACTGGGAGTCAGTGTTGGGACACTGGCCACAGGACTTCGCCAAGATCTGCACGTGGCTCGTCTCCGACCCCTCTTCAGGTCTGGACTCAGATGTCACATTCTCTGCAAGGTCTCCTCTGTGTTTCAAATTGCAACCACACGCCCCATCACCACCAACCCCACCCAGATCCACCCTGTGTTCTTGCTCTCTGTAGCGCTTATCACTACCTACTAGTTTATTTTACGTGTTCGTTCTGTTTACTGCTGCGTCCTTTCTGCCACCAGAATGTCAGCTTGTGAGGAGGCGGATCTGTTTGAGATGTCTATGCTGATTCCCCAGGACTTGGGACAGGAGGCCCCCCGTGAGTGTTTCTTGAATGAGGGAATTAATGAAGATCTTCCTCTATGCAGCTGTCATTCGAGGAGCCTGCAGTATTCGTGCATTCTCCATCCCAGAGAGGACAGGCCCCATCCTAGTGCCTGGAACGCCTCAGGGCGGCCACTGCTCTGCTCGGCCAGTGCCCCCTCTCAAGTGTGTTGGGGGCCGTGACTGTGCCTGTCTCCTCACTGCACGCCGCCTGGCTCGGAGCTGCACTGAGAACACGTTCACCGGGGAACAAAGAGGAGCCTGTCACTTCAAAGGCCAGGCTATGAAGAGAGCCTCCAGTGGTCTCTGACGTGGCACGAGGCCCCGCTGCCTCTGACCATATGCAGGGCATAGCCCTTCTCTGCTAAGATGACCTGTGGACTCTCCATCGGCCCAACGCAGTCGTCACGGCTTCTTGACCGATCCACCACGTTGCTGTGTATGCTCTGATCTCACTGGAGGGCAGGCCATGGAGCAGAGATGCAGCTGGTTCAAACGTCACCCTGGCTCTCCAGAAATGGCAAGAGGCGGGATGACCAATGCTGGCCAGGTGCTGCATCAGAGGTAGCCTGGACAAAGTGCCGAGGGACGGTCCGGGGACTTGCGAGGGAGAGGCTGCTGGCCGGGCAGCTGGTGCTCTAGGACGCCGGTCCTGAAGATTCTGGCATTGCCCGCGGCCTCCACGCTGGAATTCATCCAAGTTCTTAAGCCTCTTGCCTCACTCAGCCCCCCGTTAATGTGAAACTGGTGCTCAGAGGAACCAGATTACCAGACCACCATCCAGCTGCCCTGTAGGGCCAGCTTTTGGCTCACTTACCAGCCTCCAGAATGGCTGTGATGCTGCCACAGGGCACCTGGGCACCTGGGCAGTGTGTTGATGAGACTCTGACACTGAGTAGCTGTGACCCTCCCTGCACCCTGGGAACTCTGTCCCTGGCTCCCTCCAAGGCCTCCTCTGACATCTGTTCTCCCTGCAGCTTGTGAGCACTTGGCCTTGGGGACCTCCATCCCCACCCGGGCTGAGCCCTCAGGCTCTGACCCCAGACCTTGTGGACAAACCTGGAGAAGGGACAGAGGGCCGCCAGCACGCCATCATTCCCCCGCGATCCTCTCCAGCACGGGGCGTTGCCAGCAAGCTCCCTGACCATCTCCAGCGTCTTGTGCTCACAGGGATGAGGCTGGACCTCGCAGTCTGTGTCCGCAGCACACACCCAATGGAGAATACAAAGTTACGCCTCCTTCCCCCACCCGTGGTCCCACTACCCCCAGCCCTGGCTGCTGCCTTCTGCCTCTCAGGGCAGAGCACCCTAGGGAGCAGCCCCACTTTGAGCCTTACTGGACAGCCAGTCTCTGAGCATCTGCTCTGCCAGGCCCCACCCCACACAGCTTCTATGTCCTGTGCACACATGTACCATTTCTATAATGTACTTTGCTGGAGCTCCTTGGTGGACCCAATAAAGACTAGGAATGCAGAGACCTCGCCCCAAGCCAAAGAGTCCCTTTGCTGACCATAGCAGGGGAGCTGACTTGGCTCTTCCTCCTGAGGAGGGACAGACACAGGGGCCCCACCAGATCTAGGGCCCAAGCCCTGTGACCCCTCTGCCCTACAGAGACGAGCTCAGAGTTCCAGCTGAGCAACCCACAGGGCCTGACGCAGGCAGAGAGAACAGAGCGGAGCACCCCAGGGCTGAGGCTGCGAGACCCTGCTCTTCTCACCTTCCCTCCCTGGGGAGGCTCCTTGGGGAACCCTCCCCATCTCATACGCCGCTCCCACATGGGCAAGTCCACCCTCCCGGCCTGGAAGGACTTACCTGGAGAGGCGCTGGCGCAGATGGCAGAGCTGCTCAGGGTGCTAAAGAAGCCATTGGTGGCATCCTCCACCTGCTCAGCCATCAGCACGTGCTGCTCCCTGGGCTCACTGGCCAGCGTGTGCAGCTCCTCCCACCTGTGCCCCAGCCCCCAGCAGAGAAGTGATGTCGCTTCGTTGTCCCACACCCGCCCTCCTGCCCACCCATCTTCTAGGCCCTGGGCTCCCTGTGGGCAGCAATACCACCCCACTCATCCAGAAGCCACCTAGCTGCAACCTCATCCATCTAGGCTGCAGGTAAGGTCCAGAGTGAACCACAGAAAGACCCCAGGGCCTCTCAGCCATGGGTCACGATGTGTGCATGCTACAGTGCACAAACTCCCCCAGAGGAGAGCCTAGCATTCGAACTGTCTGCTCTTATTTCAGACACGGCCCTAACAGATTTAGTTGTCTGGTTCTGTCACCCAGAGCTGATGAGAAGAACTAACCAGAAAGGAAATAAAGGCAAGTGGTTCTAGGTGACAGCAAGAGAAGAATAGGGACAGCTGGTAATAGAAAAAGAAAAAAAAAAAATACGGCGGAATTAAAAGCAGTGAACATAAGAGGCCATACGTTGCCAGCACACTTAGCCAGGGGCATCACTTAGTGCCCAGGACAGATAATCACATACAATATGATGACACTAAGGCATGAAGGAAGGATCGAATGATGCTGAGGAAACCTGTAAGAATATAGGGCAGAGAGTAACGCATTTAGAACTCTGCCCTTCAAAATTGGCCAAGGTTTGCCAACATGGCAAAAAGTTCATTTATCTCTAAAATTCGCTTATGTAAAACTCCCCATGCTCCTCTGAAACTATATAAACCAGAAATTTCTCCCTGGCACCCAGAAGGGGGCTTCTCGGCCCCCACCTCACATTAGCACTCAGTGGGGAGTTCCGTCTGCTTCTCCCCTTAGCTCTCCCCGCCCAGCAACAGGCTGCCTTAAAAGCTCCCTGGTAATTCAGACGCTCCGCCAGCGCTGAGAACCATCAGAGAAGGGGGAATAAATACTAAAAGGGGGGAAGAGTCACAGAGAGCTTCACGCTGCTCACAGCAGTGTCTCTAGCTTTGGTGGGCATCAGAATCACCAAGGGCCAGATGAACAGATTCGACGGGGTGGGACCCTAGCATGTGCATTTCCAACAAGTTCCCAGGTGATACCGATACAACTGGTACAGGGAACACACTTTGAGAACCACCGATTGACAGCAACCAACTTCTTACTGGGGGTGGGGGGTGGGCAGCAGGGGCAGGAGGGAGTCAGGCAGGGCTGGGAGGCTTCCTCAGAGGCTCCTGTGTCTGCAGCTCAGGCCATTCATATCTAAGCAATGCCCCCTCCTGACCAATGGCTTCTTGATTTCTCTAAGCCAGGGACACTCAAAGCATGGTCTGTGGGCTGGTGCAGGTCCCCAAACTGCTTCACCCTGGCCTAAAGCGTAGACACTGAGAGTAAACACTTAGAAACTAGTCGTATGGCAACTTGACAGTCATTTTATTTCTCCTGAATAGAATAATCAACCTTCGAGCTTAGAGTTTGTGTTTGTTTTTTCATTTTTCCAGTAATTTATTTTTTAATCAATCCATGATAGATTAGAAACAAAATAACTGGACCTTCCCCAGAGATATTCTGAGCAGCCCTGCTCCGGCTTAGCAGCTAGAGAATGTCCCCAAACGGGCCGTGTATCTCCACCACGTGGTAGATTCCATCCTCAGTGACAAACCTTTGGGCCTTTGAACTATCGTGTTCAAGGCACTCTGTTTGACAGTGCAGCGCGGGGCAGTGAGCCATGAAGCAAGGTCTCTCTCAAAAGAGCCAACAATAAAGCAGCCAGTGTTAAATACCAACCTACTGGCAATGACAACGAAGATGACAGCGGTGGCCATCGGGACATGACACGATGCGGGACATCCCTGTGGTACGGGCGGTACCTCGGTCTCCTTCACGCTTCTTTTGTGACCTGTGCCTGCTGGTCCTTGGTCATCTTCTCTCTCTGCACTCGCTCCCCTGTGATCTTATTTGGGCTTCAAATACCATCCCCGATTTCAGTCTCTACCCCGGTCTTCTCTCCTATGCTCCAGACTCTTACATCCAACTGTCTACTCAGCTTCTCTGCTTAGAGGCCCAACGTGCGTCTCCAACTTGACCTGTCTGAAACGGAACTCGACTCCCTTGTTCCTCCTCCAGTCGTTCCGTTTCAGGGAAGCACAGTGAAGCACCACCCTTCCCCCTGGGGCTCGGGTCAAAATCCTTGATCCTTCTCTCACACACACACATTCAGCAGCCACTTCGCTGCTCTGCTTTCGAAACATACCCTAAGTCTAACCGTTCCTCAGCAGGGTCACAGCTGCTCCCCTACTACGAGCCACCAGCATCTCTCGTGTGAGCTGCTCCAGCGGCCCCCTAGCCAGTTTCTCTACTTCCCTTATTATTGCTTCTCCTTCTGCCCCACCCCACCAGTCCATTCTCTACCTGGAAGCCAGGGTGGTCTTCTGAAAATGTAAGCTAATTCAGGTCATTTTCCTGCTCAAAACCCCTCCAAAGACTTCCCAACTTACGACAAATTTTAAAATCTACTATGACCCACAAAAGCTCTAGCCCCGACTCCCGTGCACCTCCCATACCTTACTTCTTGTAATTCATTCCTTATTTGCTGGGCTCCAGCCACTCCCTGGCTGTCTTGCTGTTCCTGTAACACACTACGCTTGCTATGGCCTCGGGACCCTTGCACTAACCATCCACCTACCATGCCTGTCGTTTCTGCTCAAAAATGAACTCAAAGAAGCCTGGACAGACCTCCCTGTCTAAAACAGCGATCTTCTCTACTCCTCATCCACATGGGACTTCTTACCCTACTTTATTTTTCTCCTTTGCATTTTATTTTCACCTGCGATTATATTCCTTATTTATCCATTCGCTTGTTTGTTTTCTAATTCCTTTCCTAGAATGGAAGTTCCATGAGGGCAAGGACTTTATAGTGTTGTCTCTGTACCTCCAACACCTAGAATAGTACCTGGTGTGAGGAAAGCAACCTATATTTATTGACTGAGAGAACGAAGTACTGAGATTCATAGAGGGGTTTCTGTGTGCAGGCAGGGTGCCCAGACCAGAGTCTTTTCACTGAATACCCACAACTAGAGCACCATGGATGTCACCGCTATTTTCAGGGTTGACAGCATGGAGGCCCTGTGCCCCCTTCTCTTTGGGGAAGGCATATTCCGGCATTTGGAGAAATGTGGTGGGAGGTTTGGCAGCCAGAGACCCGCCCCGCCCCGCCCCCACTCCCCTGGTCCCGGGAGTCGGGGTGTGACTCAGACTAATTAGAATCCTTTCTGGGATTATTCAACTGGAGAAATGAGTCTTTTCTCTCCAGGGTGGAGATGGGAAGATGTGAGCTGGGCAGCTTCCTAAGAAACAGCAGAAACATGTGGGGGACAGAATCTCGATGGCATTCAAGTCCCTGGCTCCTCCTGCTCACCCTGAAGGACCCCTGACCCAGCCAGTGCAGTGAGATGAGTCCATGCATTTCTATTTCTTCCCGAATAAAGTCGAGTTTCTGGCACTTTCAACCAAATGTTCAGGCTAAATGAAAAATAATGCAAACTCTCAGACTTCCAGACTTGGCGCTCCCTGTGCTACAGCTACAATGTAACGAGCGAAGACAAGAGAGACCCTGGAAGGCCCAGAATGGTTTTTCCAGCTCCCGTCCCCTCCCATGGCTGTGAAGTCTCTCGGCCACACCACGGTCCCCAGGCCGACCCAGTGACTGAGCCGCTTACCTGGGAAAGCGGACCCCCACGGCAAACACAGTGACGCCTCTTTCCTGCAGCTGCTTGGCCGGCAATGCCACATGTCCTTGGGACCTCCCGTCGGTGATGATAATGAGGACGTGGGGCACTGAGACATTTCTGCCCCCAGGGAACCCTCTGTGCAGAAGGTATTTCAGAGCAAGGCCCGTCTCTGTGCGCCCTCCTCTGAGCTCACCCAGAAGGAAAACAGAAAGTAAGAATTAGCGGTCCAGAGAGGTCGAGTTGGAAGAGAGCCAACCACAGTGGGCTCCTCCATTCGTAGTGACGGCCACTTTCTCCTGGCAGAGGCTCAAAGGGACAACTCTACCATGAGAAGATGCACTTTCTCACCATCTAAACCACGACAATGATGAGCAGAAATGAACTTCTCCTGTGGACTTAAGATGCACCCCGCATGGCTCTGCTGTTTATGTAATAATGTCATTCTTTGTGTTTGTTTTTACTTCCTCTTCCCCAGTGATGGCTCTGGGTGGACAACTCTCATTCAACACTCATCTCTCATCTCCCCGCCCTATATCCTTTCCTTCTTGTTATGACTCAACATCTCTTTGAGGTGGGAAAGCAGATAACGAAGCTTAGTAAGAATCCATGAGCGTGAAGGACAGGGCTTTGCTGTAAAGGTCTAATGAGTGTCCTTCCTGTGATTGGGACTTTCGGTCCCACTTCCAAGTTCAGGGTTGGGTGCTGGAAGGCCGAACTGTCTGACTGTCTCTAGATCAGGGCAAGTTACAGTGGTCCATCTCACCAGGAGGCTAAGATTCTCTAACCTTACAGCCCAGTTATAAGGACTGTGAACTGAGCTTAGAATCCCAGTGCAGCATCTCTACTAAATCTTGTGATAGGAGGCTCGTGCAGGTGTCCTCAGTGGGAGGACTGCCAGCTCTCAGTGTCAACGGGGCAGAAAATAAAGACTCACTACAACAGATTTTAGGCCAAACCTTTCAGTAGACGGTAACACATTCACACCTGAGCAACAACATAGAGGCTGACGGAATCACCACGGTTAAGTGTATGCACAGAGAAACCCTGCTAGATCATCACTCTGAAATGCTAGCAAGTCAAAGACTATACACGGAGCGGGGTGGGGGCACATTTATACTCATTGCACTCTGAGTTTAAATTAAGGCAATGCCAGCCTTTATCGTAGCCCTCGGCCCTCTCACAGGAGCCTATGGTCATTCATCTAATACGAAAATATCCAACTGATAAGAGGCACAGGCATCGGGGCGGGGGGGAAGGGCAGGGAGTGGTGGTGGTGGTGGTGGTGGGTGTGTGTGTGTGTGGGGAGTGGTGGTGGTGGTCTGTGTGTGTCAGACAAACAAAGAGACAGAGACAAACAGAGACAGACAGAGAGCAGACAGACAAAGAGACAGAGACAAACAGAGACAGACAGAGAGAAAGAGAGAGAACGCACATGTATATATATGTACAAATGTGTATTTTTTTAAACGTAACACCAAGTGTTTACTTCTCATGCAAGTCTGACATGGGTCCTCCTGCCTGGGCATCTCTCCTGGTTTGCTCTCCTCCGAGCAGCCACTGTAGTAGTAGCATCCAGGCTCCTTCCATTTTGTGCTTCCACCTTCCTCTCAGTTTTTAAAGTCCTGCTCCTCCATGACGAAAGAGCATGGAAGAATGTGCCTGGAAAGGATTTATGGACCAGGCCTAGAAGATTCTTCACTTTTATTGATTTCTGTCATCGATGATCTCTTAAAAGGCAATTTTCTTCATGGAGCTCCATTAAGTTAATCAATGTCAACAAGCGTGGACAATTCCTAGGATTCAGACTGTTAGTCTACTATATATTAGTATCTGTGTCAACTAAAAAGCCACTCTTTCAACCCACTAGTATTTACTGTGGACCCACTAGAGGGAAGAAAGTGAAAGTGAGCCCAAGACGCATCCCATGATCTCGCCCCTCAAAGAAGTGCCGGTCTAGCTGAAGGAGTAGACCTACAGGCACGTAAGATCGATGAGAGGACAAAAGTGACAAGAGTCCTGAGGAGGAGGTCGTTGTGGAGAGGAACTATCAGGGAGCAGATTCCAGAGGGGAAAGTGTCTGAATGGGGTCTTAGTGAATCAGTGGACGAGGAAAAGAGAAAGCCACGCCTTCGGGGGGCAGGGGCGTAGGCAAAGACATCGGTGAGCAGAGCTCGGCTTGTGGAATGGGCTAATCAAAGAGGAAGCGGGTGTGCCAACAACGGTAGATCCCAAACGCCCCCGATTCCTCCCACACTGTGCTGGATTACATCAGAGATACCGAAGACGGCCAAGGGGATTTTGATACTCAGGAAGACGGCCGCCTGCACCAAAGCATTTCTGTCAGCAGAGTCTTCCTGCAGGCTCCTGGAAGAGCTGACTGTCTCCTGCCTCTAAAGGATACTATTAGGACTGAGCTTCCAATTTATGCCAAACACCTCACCTACCCGTTACTGAATGTAATCCTTACAACTATGATAAAAGGTGCTAATACTGCCCTCATTTAAAGATGAGAAAACCCCTGCTCAGAGAAGAGTAATAACTGCTCATATTTACTGAGCACTTGCCATGTGCCAGGCACCACTGTGCAAAGAATGTGTGAGAGTGTACGCGAGTGTATGTACAGAAGTGCTTAGCCACATAGAATTCTCACCACGGCTCTCGGAGAGTTCAGGGAAGGGCCTTCTCTAAGGTCACATAGCTCATGAGCGGTGGAGGCAGGACCTGAGCCCCGGACCCTCCACTTCCAGAGCCAAGTTCTTAACTAATGTTATACAACCAGTCAAGTCACCTGCCTCTCACTCAGCTAGCAGAGTGGCGTTTAAACCCAGTCATGCTGATTGCAAAGCCAATGATCTTTCCTCTCCAGAGGTTGGCAAATTAGTCTACGGGCTAAATCAGGCCTTCCACTGGTTTTGTAGATAAAGTTTTCATGGGCAACAGCCACACACATTCATTCCCACACTGTCCATGCAGAGACCATACGGCCTGCGAAGATTGAAATATTTACTCTATGAACTTTTAACCGAAAAAGTGTGCTGATACCTGCTCTATACTGTTGTCCCTAAATGGCCACAAAACTCTCTTGTCACCAAAAGCCAAAGTACCCCGGTGACCATGGAGCTCCCTGTGCCTTCATGTCCTCCTGGCTGTGGTTAGAGAGAAATTAAATGTCAAGGCCATGAGAGCTCAGGCCCCTAGCTCCACTGGCCTGTCAGATGTCTGCCCTTCATGTCGCCCAGCACACAAATGCCTGGGCTGCCCATCCTCTCCACCTCTGCACCCCAACAGGTCTTTCCCATTGGAAAACTCTGCTGGCTTCCGACCGAGCTCAGGTGAGATTCCTAATGGCTTTGAACTCTGGGAAATCAGAAGAAACCCTGATGCCTTCACTTTCCTTAGTCCGTGAACTGTTTCTGTTGACATATCTGTTCTGAGCTCAGGTTCTGGCTCCAGACAGAGTTCTAAGTCCAGAGTCTCACCAAGATTTTCCTAATTTCTCTCACGGGATTAAACTAGGTTGAAAGTAAAGCTTCACAGATAGACTGTCTTGGGAGAGTTAGGATTATGAAGTATGTTTTTTCTTTTTGGCGGGGGTAGGGGTTGGGGGAGTGGGAGGGGAGCCCAGAAGTTAAACATCTTGCCATCAGTATAGTCAAGTAATTAAGAACATGGGCTCCAGAGCCAGTGGGGCTCAAATATTAGTCCCATGTGAGCCAGGAAAACTTGAAAAAGTTACTTAACCTGAGACTGAGTGTCCTTCCCTGTACAAGCAGGGAAAGTAATAGTATTGCCTGGGATTAACTGCTGTTTCCAGTGCCTCCCAGTACCTAGTGAGTGCTCCATCAGTGATAATTATCATAATGAACCAACTAGCAAGCAGCCTATTCCAAGAAGTTTGCCTTTTGCATTCATCTCAAATTCCAGCGAGCATAAAAATCCTTCAGGAGGCTTGATAACACAGAGTCTCAGGTCCTATCCTCAGAAAACCCAAAATGGTAGGGGTATGACCAAGCCTGAGAATCTGCATTTAAAACGAGCCTCCCCTACCACAGTGATTCTGATGCAGGTAGTCTGTGGGACAGACTTTGAAAAATACTTTGTTAGAAAATTCACTGTGGGTATAGGAATATTAATTATAGCTTTTTTTTTTCTTTTTCTTTTTAAGCAACAGACGAAAATCCTGGAATCAACCCAAATGTGTCCTTTTAGGGGAATGATTTAATACATTGTGACAGTTTAATTCACTGGATTATTATATAACCATTAAAAAGGATCATCATGAAAAATAATTCAGCTTTATGCAGAAATACATGCAAAATATTAAATTAAAAAAGAGAAAAATGCTTTGTAACTATAACTACTCTAAAAGCTGTGTTTAAATGTTAATGTGGTTTGAGAGAGAGCAGAGAAGGCTCCAGAGGCTCTATGCTAAGTTAAAGTGGTGAGAGCTATTTCTGCAGAGCTATCTAAATACAGTGAAACTCTGATAAGCTGTAGAGGAGGTCCCAAAAAATTCAATCACACAAAAATCAGAGTTGGCTTACTATGAGATTAATGAAATGACTCAGTGAGCTTGCACAGCCAGCTGGCCAGGAGTTCTGGATATTCAGAGCCAAATGCTGTTTTATCTGATTTTATGTTTTATCTGATTTTGTGATCATGGGGGTGCAATATTGGAAGGCTTGGCTGTAATATTTTTTTAAACTTTTTTTGCAAAGTAGCGATAAGGTGATTGTCAGGGTGGTTTCTTAGGCACCTCGAAATACTTTTGGGGGACTTCCTTGGTCTGGAAAGGCAAGAGTTCTGGGTTTGGGGTACAGCTGTCCCAGTCAGTCCAGCATTTAAAATTTCACTGTAGAAACAGGGTCAAGAGCTCTGGGGAGGTCATCACTCCCATTGGTCCAACATTCCTCTGTTCTGATTAATAACAGTGTCTTAGTGTTTAGTGTCCTCAGTGACCTTGCGACTATGGCCAAAAAGTTAGTTGCTGCCGCCTTGCTTTGTTTGTTGTTTTATAGTCATCCTAGGATACACAGCGCTAACCACACCCCGCTCCCCCACAAAAGAGGGGCCGACCTTAATTCAAACACAAAGAGGCTTCGCTCCCCACCCCCAGTGTCCTCATCTGGCACATTCTTAATATGTCTCTGGGTTTCATGTCATGAATAATACTCTCCAGCCTTTAGTTATGACTTTCAACACAGCTGAGAAGAGGCTTAACCAGCTATTCGGGATGTGGGAGAGGGAAGGTGGGGAGATGGGGGCGAAAAACAGCCGGGCAGGGATTACTGAACTAGCAGGGTGACTCTGTGCTCCTGGCCAAGGCACCTGCTCCTTCTCAACCTCAGAATCCTCCATAAAATAAAGAGTGGGGATAGAGACTGGGCTATCTCTAAAGAGCTGTTTTGAACCAATTTGCTACAATTTGCTCCGTTTTTCGAAAGAAAGCAGGGCCAAATCATTTGAAACAAAGTCACTCAGTTTCTGACTTTGAGTCTTAAACTTAAACCTACAGACTTTCCCAACCCCCGCAAATGTTAGTGCATAGATAGTAGATATAAAGTTTTTATGATAATCAAATGTTATATTGATAAGAATTCACCATAAAATTCACCCTTTTAAAGTACAATTCAGCTTTTAGGACATTCAGAATTATGCAACCATCACCATTATCTAAGTCCAGAACATTTTTGTCACCCCGGCAAAAGCCCTATACTCATTAGCAGTCACTCACCATCCCCCGCCACAGCCCTCGACAATGGCTAATCTACTTTGTCTTCATAGATCTACCTACTCCAGACATTTCATATAAATGAAATTATACAACACATAACTTTTCGTGGCTGCTTCTTTCACTTAGCATAATGTTCCAAGGTTCATCCATGCTGCGGTATAAATGCCATTCCTTTGGATGGCTGAATAATCCTCCATTGTATGAATATACCACGTTTTGTTCACCATTGGGCTTTTATGTTGTTTCTGTTTTGGGGGCCATTATAAATAACGCTGCTATGAACGTGAGGGTACAAAGTGCTGTGTGGGTGTATGTTTTTAATTCTCTTAAGGTGGAGTTCCAGGAATCACATGGCAACTCTTACGTCTAACGCTTTGAGAAAGTGCCAAACTGTTTTCCTAAGTGTACGAGGGTTCCGATTTCTCCACATCCCTGCCACACTTGTTGCTGCCTTTTATGTTAGGCTTCCAGTGGGTACGAAGTGCTATCTCATTATGGTTTTGATGTTGAGCATTTTTTCATGTGCTTATTATCAGCCATTTATACATCTCTGGAGAAATGTCTCTTTATAAGGCGTCTTTGGGGGATGATGAAAACGTTCTAAAACCGTATTATGGTCATAGCTCTATGACTCTGAAAATATACTCGGAACCACTGAATTGTACACATTAAATGTATAAACTTTATGGCATTTAAATTATTTCTCACTAAAGCTGTTTTTTTTTTTAAAAAAAGAAAAGCTAGCATGTACCAGGGTCCTAGGGCGCAGGGAGGGGGGCAGTGGGAATTGTGGGGAGAGACATTTTAAAGGGGCAGATGCTAAGCAGCTCTGCCCAGAGAGTGCTTCGGTAGGTCACACACTCCCTTAGCAATTCTCGCCTGGGTGGCTCTAAAATCTCCCTGTGACAAGGTGCAGGAGGAAGGCTGCAACTCCTCTCTACAGGAAACCATTCTTGGCCTCAAAGGCAGAGGGCCCCAAAGGGACAAGAAAAGGCCAGTGTCATTTTAAAAATATATATCGATGTGGTTTTTTTCCCCCTTTGCACTTGTCTTACCCCTCATTCTGTTTGGGGCACCCACAGGCAGAGGAAAAGGCTGGGATAAATAGCCTTGAGGTAAAGTCACTAGGGGTCCCTGGGGTCTGGAGGACCCCCAACGTTCCTGGTGTGCCCAGTGCGGGGGTTCGGGCTGAGTGAGAGCATTGGGGACCTTACAGAGGCCTGCACCTGGAAAAAGACCTCAGTGCTCGGGGCCTTTGCAACTGGAGGTGACAGCTAAATATGGCTGGGACCCTTGACCTCAGTGGACACTAGTGCAAGGGGAAGGAGAGATCAGCGCGGCAAGTTTGAGACCGTCTTCTATGACGGCTTGTGAAGAATATAATGTGTATGTATGTGTTGCATGTATATGTATGTCTGTATAACAATCATATAGGGATGTATACGTTTACAGGTATACAGGTAATACACATATAAAAACATTTACACAAGAAATATATGTATATCCACATGTCCATACACACGCATATTACACACACACACATAGCTGACTTATGTGAGTAGTTACAGCCCTACTACATATATATTTACAGGGTATGTATGTGTATGAGCACACGAACAACTATTCATCATTTTTAAAGCACTCTCAATAACTTCCTCTTTTTAGATAGACCGCAAAAAGGAGGCTTCGAGAAGTGGATAGCAAACTACCCAAGCTGCAGTGGTCAGCAAGGACAGAGCTGGGGAAATGACTCGGTGTCCTTCCCATTACCTCCTGCTCTGAACTCCAGTCCCAATCGTCACTAGCCCTTTCTCCCAGGTGACTGACAACTACACATAATAGCAGAAAACACTTTAAAAAAAACTTGCATTGAAGTTCCTACCTGGGACATCATGTAATAATGAGGGGCAGCCTTGCGAAGCAAATTCTCATTACCTGCTGAGCATGGCTGGGCTTCTGGATGCCCACAGCCTTCTCTGGGCAGCCAACAACAATTTTCAGAGCAGCTAGCTGCATCCTCACCGTGGCAGTATTTGAGCATACATACTTGAAAACCATCCTCTTGAGTTTTGCCTTCACTTCCTGTTGGGTTGACAGTGAATCCAAGGGGAATTCTAGCCGAGGGACAGAACTGAACTGGAACGCTCCCACCCTGACCTGCAGTGGGAGACAGAGGGCCCAGGGGTTGAGAGCAGGGTCAGGACACAAACATTTATAAGTGGAAGATGGGATGAGAAAGGTTAGGGACCCTGCCTCCTGCTCACTCAACAAATTCCAGTGCCGGAGCTTTCTCTGATCTCCCTAAAAGAACATTCCAAAGACCAGAAGAAGAATCGGGAAGGAAACAGTCAGATCTGCCTGTGTTCTGCAATGACAACCACCAGTTTGATCCTCCTGACGCCGCATCTGGCAGCTCCCTCAGCTGAGCGGTGAGCATCTCTAGGGCAAGGTCTGGGCTCCCACTTACCAAACGTCTGCCAGGGGCAGGCGCTGTCTTAAGCAGTCTCACGCATTCTTTCATTTAATCCACAGAGGCACTGTTTATGCCCAAGTTACTGTTGGAGAAACTAAAATGTAGAGAGTGTACAGATCTGGCCCAGGGCTGGAGAGAAAGGGAGCCAGGCCATTGGATTTCGTGCTTATGACCTTCATAAGGCTCAGCTATACCTCTTGCCTTCTCCGCAGCCGGCACAGAAATGCTTCAGCAAAATGCTCACTGACCCAGCCAGGGGTGGCACAGAAGCTAACCACAGCCACCATCATTGGTGGCTCATCACTGACCACAGCCACCACATCCCCATCCTTGGTGGTTGGAGGAGGGGGTCATCAGCCCTTCCAGGCCTGCTCTTGCCATACTAGGGAAAGTCCAGCTCTCCAGACCAGAGTCACATTGGGGGACAATCAACACCCTAACCTGACACAAGCAATATTGGAGATGAAGTTCCTGTGCATTGGAGGGAGTGAAAGCCACTGGTGATTCCAAACAGATTTTGCATCCTAAGTGAGGAGGCTCTATGAGAAAACTCATACCTTGCAAGACTGGAGAAGGAAAACTAACTCATTCTCTGGACTCTTAAGAAGCTAGCCTGTCTTGAGCAAAGAAGGCTAGAAACATTTAGATTTCCTCCAGAGAGTCCAAGCCATGAACCTAATCATTGGCTCTCTAAAACCCCTGGAGACTATTCTCAGTTATTATTCTCATAACTAACCCTGATTCTGGCCAAGACTGCAAATGAGCCAAGAGATTCATATTTAAGCAATGAAGCTGCCTTTTGCTCGCTACTTGAATTCCTTCACTGTTGATGCCTTAATAGGCCTGGTGCTTGGGAGATGATCAAAGCACTGGCTGTATCAGGCCAGCTGCATTTGTTTGCAATGAGCACAGCCCATCAAACTTTCCTCCCGCAGGACGTTCTGAGGAGGAGTCATTGGGCATCTTAAGTAGGAAGAAATTTAAGTCTTGGGTAGACACGATGGGGAGATGGACACTGAGCAGTTGGGAAGCTCAGGAAAGTCTCTGAGGAGACGTTTTGGAAATCTCCCTTGAACTTGGCCTGTGATAAAGGGGGCATCTCAAACCAGTAGGGAAAAGATGGTTTAGAGAGTAAGTGATATTGGACAATTGAATAGACATCTGCGAAAGAATAAAGGAAAAATTGCAAATGGATTCAAGATTTAAATGTGAAAAATGTAACCATAAAAGTTCGAGAAGAAAACTTGAGAGAATTCCTTTAAAACTTCAAAGTGGAAAAGACCTTACTATGACTAAAAACCTAGACGCTGTAAAGGAGGATTGATAAATGACTATATGAAGAAAACATCTACAGGGCAACATGTACCATGATCCAACCAAAAAATGAACACAACATGGAAACGTCATTTGCACATGTCAGAGATAAAGCATTAGTTTCCTTAATATATAAAGAGTGTTTAGGAATTGACATGCAAAAGACCAAAAACCTAATAGAAAAACGGGCAAAGGCTATGACCAGAGGTCACAGAACAGGAAACACAAATGGCTCTTAAATATATGAACCAATGTTTGAGTTCACCACACTGAGATGTAGCAAAAAGTCAGATACAATGTTTGTAGGGGGGAAACCAGCATTTTCAAACATTACTGGTAAGAACATATATGGTACAGCATACATGGAAAGCAATTTGTCAATATTTATTGGAAATTACAAATGCATCGGGCTATTGGGAATTTACCCTACAGATATACTGTCACATGTATGAAATGACATATTTACAAGCTCACAGTATATCTGTAACAGCAAATTCCATCTACTGGGGGTTGGTTAATTAAAACGTGGTAAATCCTTACACTGGAACATTATCAGCTATAAAATATATACCCATATTAATACTTACATTACCTATATACCTAGATACGGAAAGACTTCCAAGACAATGTGAGGAGAAAAAGGCAAGGAATAGAACAGTCTGTGTCACTTGCTACCCTTTGTATAAAAATACATACTCATATTGCTTGCATTCGCATGAAGCGATTCTCTAAGGATGCTCAAGACAACAGGTCGGGGGACTGGGCAAATGGAAAGTGTGTGGGTAGGAGGGACACTTCATTGAATGTCTTTTTATTGAATCATGTGAATGAATTAGTTTTAAAAAAAGACTCTCTTGAGACCAACAGCTGGGTGTATTTACTTGAATTAAACAGGAAGGATACAAGATGGAAACAGCTTGAGTCAGTAGTTAAGGCATTTAATTTAATTGGTGGTTTGGGAGGAAAAGAGCTACCTTTTATCTTCAGTTTACTGTATGATCAGAAGCAAGCCCGCCCAGATTTCTCACCCCACTGCAATCACTCTGCTGCAATCATCATATTACAGCTAGGAAGTAAAACTTCTCAGCTTTTATCACCCCACTGCAATCACCATATTACAGCTAGGAAGTAAAACTTCTCAGCTTTTTTTTTTTTTCAAACTTCTCAGCTCTTAAGTATTTAGAGGAAGACTTCAAACATTTTAAATCCACCTCAATAACAGAGCATTTCATTAAAAGCCTTAATTTATAGCTACTTGAACATTTCTTCCTGAAAACTAAAGGTATAGAAAGTCAAATGAGGCACACTTCAAATGTCTTGTACATGGAGATAACAAGAAGGCACAAAAAATGCAGCAGCAAAAACAGAAAACCTAAAGCCACGAGTCAGACGGAACCCTCTGAATTTGCCCTGATGCAAAAAGACCCTTTACTAGCATTCCAGCAAGTCTGATGAAGCACCTCGGAGGTCAAGGTGCTCACTCGCTCAGCGAAACAGATACCCAACTCTTTTGCTCAACAAATCTTGCTGTGAGAAAGTTTTTCTCGAGCTAAGCCCACATTTACCTCCCTTAACACTCAGCTTCTGTCCTCTTAAGAAAATGGAGTCATTCTATATGCTCTTTCACATGAAAATAATAATCAAGTTCCCTCATATATGGAAATTTCCAAGGGTCTCACTTTTCTGGTTCCTTGTCGTGGGCACTGTCTGGTTTGCCAACATGTAACCTAGAAATGCCACATTCTAGCTGTGCTCTGGCAACACTGAGATTAATTCCCTGAACTCTGGGGCACAGCCTGTGGGTTGGGGCAGCTGTTCCCAACAGCACCAGCTATGAAGTTTTTTGTCATGGTTTTCTTGGCCTCTCTGAGGATGCTGAATTCCATCAGCACGTACCACCTCCACATATACTCACACAAACACACCACAATGCCATGTTGTCCACTTGCTATGTGATGGCAGGCTGTGAATTCTGAGTGTCATGATCTCATCTTAGCCCAGTGGATAGGGACAAATGACCTAATAGAACAAGCCCTGAGCTGAGAGTCAAGAGCCCCAGTTCCTCCACACTTGCTGTGTTGACTAGGCAGTCACTAAGCGTCTCTGAACCTGTTTCCTCTTCCATGTCCTCTAATAATCCATACAGCTCTTCTCTCCCAACTTGCCATCTGCTGGGGTCTTCCGGACCCCTATTTCAGGACATACTACATCAATGCCAAGGTGAACAGTGTTGGATTTTTAAGGCTCTTTGTCCACGAATAACTAGCAAAATTTCATAGGGAATCATTTCCTTTTACAAGCAGAGCCCTGTGTGGAAGAGGGTGGAAATTCAGCAGTCCATGGCCCTGGCCCTTTTAGGGTCTGTAAAGGGTCAATGTCACAGATGGAACTTCCGGGCTCCTCACGCCTAGATGGAAGGCCGTTTGCCAGGGTGTCTTCAGAAAACCATGCAAATCTGCCAGGGCAATGTGCTCACTCTCCCAAAATGACAGGCTATTTTGGAGAAAATCTAGCCCTCAAAAAAGGCCACTTTCTCCTCCTAAATCCTAGTGGT